TGTGAAATCCTTTGCCAAAAAGTCGCCGAATCGGAAGCTTGCGCCTCCCGGCTGGAGACGCCTTCAGCATGGGTGCTTGGGCACCGAGATGACATTACCGCCGGAGGTGGGGAAGCCGCGGCCTTGGCCCCGAGCTTCCGAATCGCTTCGCGTTCAGCATTCCCCTTTTGTGCAGAGGACCTCAAAATGCTTACGGGTCCACGTAAGAGGCCCAAACTCTATGGAAGCCGTGATGAGTCCTTGAGGTCATGCACAGACGAAGACCTGGACCCGCGCTTCGCGGAAGTGACAAAGTCGCGGCCGGTGCTGTTGAAGGCGACTTCCGGGATCAATGGCCCAAGAACGGCAGTGAGTCCCGAATCGACATGCGGCGCTTGGATGCCAACGACTGACAAATATGCGCAGCATGACGAAGCATGAAGTTCAACTTCACGCCTAATTTGAGAAATCCACTCCAAGCCAGCAAGGAGGGCCACGCTTGGCTCGCTGTCCGTTCCGCTCAACGGGACTTTAGACTGAACTCACTCGTGTCAGGAGCTATGCCTTGACCACATGCTGTGTCCTTTCTAATGCTATATTTATGGCAGAGGCATCACTTCTGCACAGCTGCCCGCAAGTAAGGCTATGCTTCATGAGTAGCATCGACTTCACATTCAGCAACACTAACTTGAAGTGAAACCTCAACCCCTCATGTTGTCCAAAGCTTTGCCTCAGGCGCTTGAAGACACATGGATGATCTTTTTGCCGACTCATAGCCCAATTTGATCCACGTCAAAGATGTCCCGCAAAGGGCTGGCCATGAAGGGGCTGCGGTTTTCATGCCTCGCGTTTTGTGTTCTGCGTAGGAAGAGGAGAAAGGGCTGCTGGTGCCCCTGGTGGTTGCAGCCTGGATTGTCACGCTGGCCTCCCGGAGAGTTGCGTAGCAGATGTCAGACACCGTCAGACACCACATAGCCGCATTTGGCAGACGCATGAGCTGCAGGTCCACCTCGACGTTGATCTTCAACAAGTGGCGGTGCTCAGTTTTGGCTGAGTCTGCGCCCAGTGGTGTTGACTGTCACTGCAGTGTACCTCGCGGTACACAGCAGATGCAGCGCACCAGTATCAAGAGAACCGACCCGCACGGGAAGATTGACTTTCAAACTTTGGCCGCGATTGGTGAGTGCCTGAACATGAAGTGACATGCGTGTATAGTCATAATATGTACGTGTCATACGTGACTCGTATACATGGATCATATGTTGTCTCAGGCAGTTTTTTGCTGTCTTGAATCCTTCACCTAGACATCCAAGGCAGCTGTTCAGCGGAGGACGATTTCCCTTTCCGCTGACGCTGCTGACGGTGCATCAAGGACCGGTCTGGGTCCGGTCCTTCCACAGAAGCTCCCGTAGTGGTCATTTGCTCATGTTCCCTTTCATTGGAAGTGGTTTGTGGTTTGGTTTGGGGTTCACTGCCATGCTCCCTGGAAGATTTCGTTTGGAGCACTGCGGAATGGTTTTGAGGGTTGGTGGCATCGGCTTCTGCATTTTCTTGAACTTTCTAGGCACATGGTCTGTGTCTTCTCGTATCCCAGGATGTGTTGATGGGGCCGTTGCCTCTGCATCTTGAGAGGACAGCGCATTAATACACAAGGACAGGACATACCTATTTACAGTCCACTGGATGTTGCATCAGAGATTCGGATAAATGTGCGGAGCCATCCATCCGTCCGTCCGTCCGTCCGTCTGTCCATTTGTCCATTTGTGCATGCATGCAGAGTACATAAATACATACATGCATCAGCAACCTTACTCAAGTACTACCGTAGATGGACGCAATCCTGCACCACTTTGAACCCATGGGAAACCATTGTTTGTTTGTATTTATAGGGGAATCATCATTCCAGGACTTCTTAGGTGGTGCAGGATTTCGTCCACCCACAGTATCATTACTCGTTGCCGTCACTTCTCCGTTGTCATGGCCAGGCACCTTCGCCGTAGTGCTGAATGGGTTTCAGCTTCTGGCGCCCATGTCCCTTCAGCGTGTGGCGCCGCACCCGGAGAGAGTTGAAGTCGCACTCCTGGAAATTGGCGTTGCCAATTTCGGACTTGGCAGGACGCACTTCAAGACTTGGAAAGACTTGGCAGATGTTCCCAGCTTCTTTCTCTTTCTATTCGCAATCTTGCCACCTGCAACCGCTTATTTCGTGTGAGGTCATGCCTGGCGCGCAGAATCTCACCTGCCGGATGTTCCTGCGACAGTTTCTGCCGCTGGGTGCGCTGCAGGCTACCGACTTGGTTCCCTTGACTCGACCGGCTTTGGTAAATTTGCCCATTGCCGGAAGAAAGGCACTGATTCACGTCAAGGTTTGTTGCACCCAATGACCCCTAGTTCATCAGAGACTCGATGCCTGCTGCATTTCAAAGCTCGGACATGTCTCCAAGGGACATTCGACATGTGTACACTTGCATGTCACGTATCATCCGCCAGGCAGTGGCCATGGCGACTCAGAACGAGGCAGGGCTCCCAAGTTGGCCTATTGCGGCTGTTCGAACATGTGTCTGAGTTTTACCCCCGCCAAGCATTCCAATCGAAGAAACCCAAAGCTCCATACGCGTGACGGCTGGTAGATGCGAGAGACATGTTTCGCAGGCGCTCTCCATGGCAGCAGCCCAAGTGAGAGCGAAAGTTCAAGTCTGAAACGGTCAGCCCAACTCTGTGGCTTATTAATAGAGCGCGTGTTTCTCGATGTGGATCGGTGGAAGATGCTGAGGCGAACGGACCTATTGCATGGATGCTTGCAACCGCATTGGGTGTCCACCAACATTATTCTGGAGCTTGTCCACCGCCCTATAGTTTGGAAAGTGGGATTCGGGTAAGACATGTTCTGCGATTGTCAACGAGACATTTGCAAATGCGCCCAAGAGAAAGATGCATTTGTTCTGCAAGCATCTTGAGACACGCCAGAACAGCTGCCCTGGATTCGTCCTTCGAGGTTTCCGCTCACGCTGTGATCATGGTCTCGGCTGCTTGGCTGCACTTTGGCATATGATTGCATCGCGACGCTCTTTGGGACAAGTCACCTGACGAACAGACGGCGGGCATTTCCATGGCATGCTACGGCCAAGCATCATGAAGAGCAGCTCCATTCTGTGTCAGCTTCATCTCGACCAGACATGCTTGTGTTCCGATGATCATTCTGACAAGCTGCATGCTGCATTCTCATTGGGCTGTCGCGCACTGCAAAAAAAACCAGCTATTTGATTTGCTCGGCCTGGGGTGCCGAAAGGGGCCATCCGAACCACCAGAATGCAATCGATGTTGCTTGGGCTGCGAGTCTGGTTTACCACTCGAGGCCTCCAAGCCCGTCCTCGTGGCGTTGCTGCAGGCGATTCAGATTCCCGCTAGAGGTCTCAGTTTGGCTGTTTCTACCTTGCTGTTTGGGTTTGTCAACAGCTCCATCTGTTCCCTTTGCTCGTAGTTTCTGGGCAAGGTTCCTTGTGTTGGAACGTCTTGACGGGCCGCGCAGGTGTGCTTTGGCCTGGCGCCCTTTAGCCCTATGCAGTTGAAGGCGGGCGAGAGAAGGGGACTGGAGAGGCAAGAGGTACCAAAAGCTGACAAAGGTAACGCTGGAAGGACTCTCTTAAAGCACACTTCGGACAACTGAAAGGCAACAACAAAGACGGCCAAATCAAGGATAGAAGGAGGTCCTGCTCCTTAAGAAGATGACTTCTTGGTTTTCAGGGAGTTGAGCAGAGACGGGAAGCTTTTGGCCTTGCGTGATGGCAGATAGTAGGGGGTAGGGAAGGGGCCAAGTGGCCCTTGCTCCCTTTGAATTGCTCTGCAAGTGGTAACCAGATGTTGGCTGTGTGGATGTTGCATGCTGAAAGCTGCAAGAACGCGAGTTCAGCTTTGGCAGGTGCTACTTTGTGTCGCACTGGGTGTGGCGGCTTCAGTCACTGGCGAAGTGACCCTTGGCCGTGGTTTGGCTGGCGTCAGTACGGATTTCAAGGTCGAAGTACTGTAGCCGAAACATGCTTCCTGCTTGTCGCAATCACAGCCAGGAACATGTCGCTGCCCGGCTTCATCTTCCTGTGCGCTGCCCAGGCCCCGTTGCGCTGCAAAGGCGCTCTTGCGAGAGCGATCGCGCCAGATCACGGAGTCCTCGCGCATCGTGCTGATGCAGCGGCTCCTGGGTGTCCCGCACTCGGCTCACTCAGAGTTGGCTCACTCGGCTCACTCGGCTCTCAGCCTCCCAAGGATTCGACCAGAGAACTGGACGTTGGGAGCCTAAGTGGCATTCGCGCACTCGCACTCTAGCTCATACTGCATTTGGCATTTGGCCCAACTGCCACACGGGAACTTCGCGTTCTTTCCAAGTCACCATTCGCGCCACAGATCTCAAGAGCAGAGGACGGCTCATGCGCTCAGGTGCTGTCGCTGCTAGCCATGTCATCCCCCGCGTGCTTGGTAGTGCTGTTGCTGCTCGGTTGATTTGGAGGCCTAGCTGCGGTTTGCTTGGACTCAAATGTGTCTGCATAGTGCACGCCTCCATGCTGCCTAGGACATCTGCTTCCTTCTTCGAGTTGGCGCACATGGACCGGCAAGTGGATTGCTTGTCCTTTACACATTTCAACAAGCGAGTAGACCAGCTTGTCAGTCCGGGCTGCCGAATGATTCGAATGATCCGATCAGAAGCTCGGAACTGAGAGAGGTGTTGAGTCAGTTGAGTAGTTTGCATAGGACTTCAGCACGAACAAAGAGCAGTTGCTGGGAGTGGCAGCGTGCAAGCTCAGCGTGCCAGTCACGTGAACGTGAACTCGGGACAGCAAGCCTCAATTTGCGTCAAGCATCGCTTGAGGCCAGCACAGGACTTGCCTTCATGGTCAACGTGGAGCACCCAGCATAGCGTGGAGACGTTAGCTTTCATGAGACACCACCAGTGTCAAATAGCAACCCCGTTGTGGCTGATTCCTGGGCGACAAGGATGTAAGAAGGGTTCACCCAGTTTCAGACCGCGGATGAAGGTGATCAGCGCGCAAGTCATCAAAGTCACAAGTGCATTGGCGCTGACTCTCTTGGGCGTAATCAAGGAGACACATTGACATGTTACGAACTTGAAATGCATAGGCTGCATAGGTGTGCTTGGCATCAGGCGATGCACAAACGCAGAAAACTGGCAATCAACTTGGAGCTGCAAGAGTGTGGCATGTACAATAGGACAGTTTGGCCTGACCAGTCAGTGGAAGCTGGGGGACACTTGATCTGAAGGACTTCCTGGGTGTGTTCTTGTCCTCCTGGCTGTTCGCTGCACCAATCTCTGCTGGGCAGGCGGGGGTTCGGAAGCTTGCGTGTGCGCTCGTTCAAAGAGCATGGACCGGCCTACGGCAGGTGGCGGGCTATGCAGTTGCCGTGCTTTTCATCAACCTGTACAAGGATGGGCACATCACACCCAACGCATGGAGCGAGTCCCTATTATCCAGTGTCACAAAGTTGCTTGTTTCAAGCTGCCATGCGCGGCAGCTGGACCCGCCCAAAAGATCCCTTCATGTTCGAAAGCATGTTCCAAGCTTGCGCATCCTCTAGAAGGGTTGGTACAAGGGATATATATATATATATATATATTGGCATTGGCGTGGAATAGGGGTGAACCCCTCCCCCCCCCCAAAAAAAAAAAGAAGGAAAGGAAGAAAAACAAAGGCGAGTCTTCAAAACGAAGGAGTCTCATTGTGCATTCCGCGGCTTTTGCAGGGCGCGAGCAGGTCTTGAAACAAAGGCCAAGCGAAGCCTAAAACGAAGTCCTTCTGCACGAAAACTTGGACTGGAAGACAACAGGAAGATTATGGGAAGAAAGACGAAAAGGAAGGCGAGTCTTTCAAATGATGGATTTAGAGATATTCCAGATTGGCACACCCGCGGTTTTGGCGGCGGCCAGGTGTATTCTAGAATAAAAACTGGACAGCGCCACAAGTCGAGCGCTGCTCAGGCGGTGCAGAGAGCAGAGGCCAGCAAAAAATTAAGATTTTGGCTGCGGGAGCAGTGTAGATCATTGCTTTTTCGCGCAGGCCGGCGGAAGTGCGGTCTCCGCTTTGGAGCTGCTTCAGCCGCTGATGCCTCGACCGCTGCGTATGGTAATGCCGGACACCCAGGGATGAAAGTTGCCGAGGGGGGCACCAACGGTTTCGAGGTGTGGCCTATGACACAACTGTTGTTCTTCTAACATATTGGTTTCCTTGAGGCTACTGGCAGTCTTCAGCATCTGCGCGACTCTCCTGTGGCAGAGGAGGGAACACCTACGGCTTTCTAGTTGCAGCGCGGGTAATCGCGAGCTGCAGGGCAAGCAAGCCGCGTAGGTGTGCGGAGTGCATGCAAGTTTGAAGATTATGCACGCACAGAGACTCTCACTCCTGCCAGACCTTCACCACTTTTGGATGCAGGACGGTGCTGCAGGACTGCCTTGGCGTCCTCAGTTGGCCTGCTGAAAATGCCTCGCTGCCCCTTGAGGGATGCGTCCAAAGTAGACGCCTTACCACGCCGAGAATCGCCGGGTAGTGGGTGAAGCTTGATGTTGCTCATGAATCTGGTCCAAATGTTCTCAGATGTTTCACGGCTGTGTGCCGCATTGTGTGCAATGTGTGCATTGTGTGGCCGCGGTAAAAGACTGCAGAGCTCTGCAGTGTCGCTGAGCCAATCAGACATTTTATCATAGAGCCAACGCAAGCTTGCAATATGCCTTCTATTCCCATTCAGCCTTTCAGTATGATGCTGCATGGAAGCAGTATTTCGATGTCGACGCTGGCCGTGCCTTGATTGTTGACTTGTGAGATGGAAAGCTTGTCAACCGCAATCGCAACCGTGCTCCGGAAATGTTCAAGCTTGTCACAACTTCAAGGGCTGTTGAGATGAGTCACACAGGCCAACTCGGCCAATTGAGTTTCTTTGTGGCATTTTGAACTGAGCGCATGCCCAAGATGCACGGTTCTAGCAGAGGGCCAGAGTATCACTACCGTATATCGGCTATCTTGGAGTTTATAAAGACCTGCAAGAGATCTGGTCCGGACCAATGGTGCGAAAACGGCACATGCCCACGCGTACTGCCTGTATTGACCAGAGATTTGGCTTCATGGCCATGGCTTCCCGCCTTGCCAGGCTTGTCGGGCGGGAACCAAAGTGGGAGGGATTCACCAAGTGTTCCATTTGCGGCCAAGATCAGTTGGAGCTGCGCGGCTTGCAATGCAGGGTTGGTTTCAGCGGCTTGTCATAAACCTCCCACACTCCACAGAATTGCCATCTTGCGGCATCGCGTCCTTTAGTATCTCGTCCATGTCGTCCAGATAACACTTCTTGCCGGGTTCTACAAGCTTGACTCGCTTGGTTGAAACATGTCACGAGCCCTTCCCAGTCGGTTTCAGCACAGCCCACAACTTCTGGAGACGCCGAAAGCGCCTTGAGACGGATCTCGGCCCATGCGCTCGGCTGGAGACTCGAGGCAAATGCAGCTCCGCAGCTTCAGCGCTGCCAGGACGCCCTGCTTGAGTCTTTTGATCAAACCGCCCAGCAGCTGTTCAGCAAAACAGTCGCTTCGTTTCTTCGTTTTGGTAGCACCGAGCTGGTCAACTGAAGGAACTTTGGCATTGGAATTTGAAGCCTCCAGCCAGTTGGTTCAACAACTGCATGCCGTTTGAAGCCATTTGGCATTCAGCTGTGCTTTCAGGCGCACATCCCAACGGAAGCGCATGACTTGAAACATCAGATAGCTCCGGCGGCCTTGGACGTCAAAGGGCGCGTGACGCCGGCATGCAACGTGAGGACGCCCTGGTGGGTTCTGCAAGAAGCCCAGGCCGTCAAAACAAATTTGAAGAATTCCAAGAGATCGAAGCTCTCAGATTGGAAGCGGTACATCAGCCCCTCGAGCTCCAGATGGCGAAGAGCGCGCGGCTCGACAGGCGCATCGGGGCATCGGGCGGCCGGTTTGCTGACCCCCGTTTTGCGGATGCCAAACCTTGGGGTTTGATTCCTGCAAGTCTGGAGAGGTTGGACATTGGGATGGATTCCTGCAATGGGTTTGGATGGGTTTGTGGCGCTTCTGGTTGGAGAGTGAGGAGCAAAGGGAAGGTAGGCCGTTGGATCCAGGCAAAGAGGCACACAATATTTGCCCATTTGATGAACAGTATCGAGCCTGATCAGCTGTGTTTTGCTGCGCGGGCTTGACCTTTCATGTGCTTCAGACTGGCAGGAGAAGAACAAATGCAGCCCAAAGTCAGGCCTCGACCTGGGTCACCCCTGGGTCTTGGTGGGCTGTGGCAGAGAAATTTATACACTTCAGTCACTTCAGCCCAGGTTTTCTTGACGGGGTGGAATGAGAGTGACTGGACATAGAGACGTAGATTTGTCAGCTCCCTTCAATGAGAGCACATTTACACACCTGACAAGGACGGTACGACTTGACTCACATTGCTGCACTTGTGCTTGTCAAGAAGCAACTCCGGGTCGACTGCCAGGAGGGGCGGTGCCGAAAACTGAACCCATACTTGGCTTTGGGTGCGGAGGCTGAACAGGTGCTGGCTCGTGAGATCCCAGGGTTGCCTTTGCCACGCAGTCTGCTCATACTGTAGGTTTGTTTCTTGTGTGCCCATTGGTGAGGCGGTCGCCCTGTACGGCTCGCCCCTGGCTGCAGCTTCGCCCTACCACGCTTTCGCGCCTGCGCCCCCCTGCTGCGCGGCGAAGGTTTGGGCAGGTGGGTTTGCCACTTCTTTCCACTCTTTGCCAATTCGCTTCGAGCTTTTTTCAGTCGCCCTGCAGATACTGATAGGTTGCAAGTGCTTGAGGCGCTTCTATAGCAATTTTGTGTTGGTCCTGTTTGCATGAGGCAAGCAGCAAGATGACGAAATGGGAGATGGTGCCGTTTGAAAATTGAGGTTGACAATTTTGATAATAGCACAAGCTGCACTGGTACGAGGAGCACGCTTTGCCCTGACTGCATTGAAGCTTCAAAAGAGGACAATGGATGAGTCCCACTCATCCTCCTTGCAGCGACAGGCAAATCTTTCAGTGCAGAAGGGGCGAACTGCATCAAACTGCCATAAGGGGCGGGAGCAGTGCAGTCGTGATCTGAGGTTTGCTGGGAAAGCCCACGCGCTGGCCGGGGCCAGAAGGCTTCAAGACCACTGCGCGGTTGCTGTGGGACGAGGAGGCGATGCCAGCGGTCACTGAACGCCCTGGGTATCGGTTTGTTGTGGGTATATGGCTGTGAGTCAAGGCCCTGTACCCCTGGTGAACATCAAAATGGGTGACAAATGGATGTTCATCCACCCCAAAATGGAGGTATAGGGTATGCCCCATGGCCATCTATGTGCATGGTTATATTGCTGTGCATGATGTTCAATGTATACATGCTGTAAATGCATTTGTCAATGCTTGAGCACACACACACACACATGCATGCAAGCACACAGCACTTTTGGATGCAACTCTCAGCAGTCTAAGACATGCTGACATGCTCAGTCACGCCGCCCGAGGCGCTCTACGTGTGCTGGGAGCTGCAGGGCTCTGCACGGGCGCCGGTGAAGCTGGGGGACGTGCAGCTGGAGGCGCCTTCGACCTGATGGGCTTGGAAGGTTTGCCGGGAAATTCCGGAAATGCGTTGGATTCACGAAGCACTTGTGGTGATCGTGTTGTTTGGCCAGACAATACCATGTCAACCCAACCCCTCCCTTTAAGTTGTTGGAGATTCTGGAGGATTTGCTTTCCTTGCCCAGGACCAGCTGGCATCGATACCTGCAGAGCGACAAAGCATTCTGTTCGATGAGAGGGTGGAGTGCTTCGTTTGGCAGCCAGGCACGTGAGAAATGACAGAATTGTGTTAGGCTACCTGTGACAAATTCAAGAGTGCCAGGGGACGGAAATGAGACGTACTTCGCTTTCGAGATCAATTTCGACGGCAAGGCCGAAACTGTGCCACCGCATTGCCACTGGAGGGCATGTGTGAGCTTGTGGCGCGGGTGGAATCGACACTGAATTTCACATGCAACAAATGAGACTTCATGATACCGTGCTTGCCTTGGAGCCGTCAAAGTAGATAGTAAGCAGATGCAGAAATCTGCGCTTGCACGCTGCGCTGCGAAGGCCTTGACCAACAGGGCCAAGTTTGGCGGCCACTTCGACTTTGGTTGGGATTCTTCCGCTGCCTACAGCGCGCTGGACTCAGGGATGATCAGTGAAGGGTCCCGTCAGATGCATGGGTTCTGATTGCGCTCCTACATGATGCCAGCTGGCATGAAAGACCTAATGGGCTTCTTCAACCCGGTTCCGTTGAGCATCAAAACTCTTGCGCACGGTGTGTGAAATGTGGCATGACCGGGGAGCCAGGCCCTTCTGAGATCCAGGATCCACACCCCTGCAAACTTTTGCAAAGCTCCTGTCACTCGCTTGGGCTCAGTTCAAGCTTCGACTTGTTCTCACTACAGACTTCTGGAACGCATCTTTTGCTCTCCTACCAGACGGGAAAGAGCCAGCTTGTTTGCTCAACCACAACAGTGGGTGCCAGTGCTCCGCCGGCTGTATGATTCCTGACCTAGATCAGACTCGAAGAGGACATGATCTAGTTCAGGAATTCAGGAATCAAAGACACACACATAAGTTGTTGCTGTGCTTTTTTATTTGGCCACCCCCCAAACTCCCCAAAGGTCGCGCAGTCAGAGCCCCGGATTCGTTCGTTCGAATTCTTGGCTCCGAGGCTTGGACCAAGGAGCTGCCCGTGGGGCTCGTGGGAGACGTGGGGAAGGACGCCGCCACCGCCGCCTCCGGGGGCGCCCGCGCCCCGGGCGCCCGGGTGGCGCCTGGGCAAACAACTTTTCAACGAGTCCGGGAGAACGGGCTTCGGGGCTGTAGTATTTTCAGATGTGGAGAAACTTGGGTTCTTACTTCTTTCGTTTGGAGTTTGGCCTATTTTGTAAGGTTGCATTTGGAGCACCATTCGCTGCATGCGCAGCTGAGTCATGGAGGGCACTGCTGGTAGGACTGGTCAAAAGTTGGATGTCTTTTGGATCCGTTGGGAAACAAGAAGGCAATTGTGATCTGAGGGCTGTGACAAACTCCCGCCACCACCATTTCCAACACCCACAGGCCACCCCTGGTGACGGGTCGCCCCAAGGTTATTGGCGCTTTCAGATGGCAGGCGCTGGGCATCGCGACTTGGCATAGCTTCAACCCGGGGCTTGGCTGGGCTCATAAGGTTCAAGCTCGGGTCCAGACTCATTCGCATTGCAAACATTGGAAGGCAGACTTTTGGTTGGAGCAATTGCAGTTAGAGGTCGCGCATCTGTGGTGTTTCATTTGCTGATCACAGGCAAAGCACTTGGTTGGGTTTAGGCTCCACGAGTCTCGCATTCGATTGCGTGCGGACCGCTGTTTCTATAAGGCAGAGGTGCTTCGGGGAGACCTTCCCATAGGAACCAATGGACGCCCTTGGATCCGGAAGGAGGACACTGGTATTCCCGGACAGCCAGGTTCCATGTTGGTGGGAGAGTATCTCTGCTGAAAGATCAAGCAAACAGAAATCAAACGGTTTTCACATTCGGACGGACCAGCAATGACTGGCGGGATTTGTTTGAGGTTCCAGCAATTGTCAGGCCTTCTCAAGTAGGTAGCAACAACCAATGCTTGCGTCACAATTGTTCTCGCCAGCAAGTCTCACATATAGGCTCACCTGAGCAACGCCACAAACCTTGATTATAAGTAGTCCATAGGGGTGTCCTACAGAGCCGCAAAAGCCAAAACGAAGCCGCGAAAGCTTGCGAAACCCTACCGTAAACGTTTTCAGAGAGAGGAGACACGTTTTCCGCAAAAGCTCCGCGAAAGCTCCGGAATGTGCCCCATTCCAGGCCGATTGCCTTTGCGCTTGGCCCCAGGCTGTCAGGGTTGTGAAGCGTGCTTCGTAGCATTCGCCACGAAACCTGAAGGCAACAATGCTCGCGAAAGCAACAACATATTGTCGCGAAAGCATCGCGAAAGGGTCCACGAAGGCAAACTCATAGTACCGCTTGTTACATATGAGTTGTCGGTACTGCTCACCTGTAGTAATACAGCAAGGTTCACCTCGCGCCATGCCAGCACCACCTCCTGCAAAGCGGCAAAGGTTGCAGGCTGACGGAGATTGCCGCGCTGAAGGCATTGCATCTTCGACAAAAGCCTTCAAGACGGCCGAGCTCGGGGACGTTTTCCAAAGCGCAACGTCCATGTCCAGCGCACAGCGGTTTTCTCTTGAAAGCGCTAAGCAAGACTCTGAAGAAACATGCGCTGAGTTAGGGGTCAACCTTGAAGAGCAGGGGCTACATGAAACAGACCAACAAGGCGAAAGTCAAATTGCCGACATCAAGGCACTCCTGGACAAGGAGGCACTGGCGGACATCGCAAGACGCATGCGGCCATTTATAGGGCTGCGTTTCAAAGGTGTGTATGAAACGGCTGCTGTCCATCGCTTTCACGAACGCTACACTGCCACCGAAAACAAAGACTGGTTCTACAAGTATGAGAACACCAGTCGCGGCATTGTGGCCCATCTTCACACACCCTGTTTCTACAACCGAGTGTTCACCGGCATCAACGAGCGCACCCAGCTGCAGGCAGAGCTCTCAGCATGCGCAGTATTCAAGCAAGATCCGGAAGTTGTGGAGGCTGCGAATCGGCTTCCGCCGCCAATTGCAAAAATTCGAGCACGCGCCTCTCTCACAAAGCATCAAAAGCGGGAACTTGCGGAGAACGGCTTCAATCCTGGCACGGTCTTGCGCGAGAGAATCGAGGCTGTGTACATGTGCTTTCAATCTTTAGGCTGCAGGACAGCAATCTGGGACGGAAACGCCTGATTCTGTGATGAAAGTAGATCAGACTCTAGGCCATTGTGTCGATGCACAGAGAATGCTGTCCGGAGTAGTGACTGCTGGCAGACCAGCTCGAAAAGGATTTGGTCAGTGTCAAAACAACCGGCCACAGGAGAATCTAAAAAGGCATATGTCAAAAGGGTTTCCAACGTATGAGCGACTGCTTTCATTTACAGAAGACCACAATAAAGGCCGTGCCATCTACGTGATTGAGATCGCAAACACACGCGGCGTTTGAAAACGAGGTCGACGAGTCCAAACGATTGCAGGGTTGAGAGCGCCCGCGTATTCAGCCATGTGGCAAGGTAGCTTATATTTTCCCGCAAAGGGCTCTTCCGCGGTGCAGGAGCTATTCAGTTTCAAATCAGCGTTTGATGGAGTCTCTTGTTCTGGGCTGCATTAGAAGGTTTTTTTAAGCGGACAGTCCCAAGCGTGAATGGGCGCGGGTTGTTTTATCGTGACTCACTTGGCATTTGCCTCAGGATAGGAAGCGGGAGATTCGCATCGGCCTCACCCGAGCACAGCACCCGCTGGTTCTGTCCAGCGAGTTGGGGCAAGCCGAGGCGGATGCGATTCTGAAAGGGCCGCTTGTACTTAGACATCACGCATTTGTTCCAGGAGTCTTGACTCAGTCCAAGCCATTGCATACGTAGTTGTCTGAGGTTGGTTTCATTGATATCATGGATATGTGTCATGGGTGTCATGGATATGGGGTATGGCAAGAACACCAGCAAAGTTCACAGATCCAGCATTTGCATGTTGCCTTCCCTTCTTGGTCTTGCTGTTCAGGCCAGTTGGGTGCTTGTAATGCAGATTCTGACTCCAAAGTGTGGTTTTGTGCCATTTTGGCGTCTCATCGGCTGAGGATGATCTGGACGACCTGGGTGGACCCCGATGATGCCGAAGTCAACTGCCACAGGGCCGAGATGTTCGGCAGGGTGAAGCTGGAGCCTGCAGGCGGGCGGGCGCCGTCCGAGGTCTTCGGGCGATGGACTTTCCGTTCATGGCGAGATTTGATGTTAACATCGTTCTCATAGTTGGGTGTGGGTCAAAATTAGATCACCAGGGGACGGCAGGTTTTAGTATTTGTTTCCATTTACCAGGGTTCCATTCTGGGTATCTATTGTTGACCCACACCCAGTTGATGGGGCAGTTGCTGGAGCGTGAGACCAAGTTGCCTTCTGCAGGTGGTGAAAGAGTTGTTGAAGAGGATCTACCTCTGACTTTATGCTGCGAATCGGCATGATCCTTCTCAGAGCCCGCAAATTTTGCGTCAGCTGAGTTGCGAACGCTTGCGGAGTTCGGTGGGGATGTCAACAGTGAAGCCACCCTCCGAAATGGACATCGAAAGGGGCTTGGAGGGATCGGATCGAGAATTCCAAGACCGTACAGTTCCCAACTGCACCTCGGGTTTTGGGGTTTGATCCTTGGATTGCTTTGCTTGTTTGCTGGTTTCGCAGGCGCGGTGGACTGCTCCTGCTGCGCCGCGCGGCTGCTTGGCTCCAAGGTTGGAGCCTCAGTCGTGGGTTCGAGTCGAGTTTGGGTGGTGTTGGAAGATGGTTGGAAGATGGAGTCGAGTTTACAGTTTTGGTTGTCCGGTTTGGTGGTGTATGTTGAGGTTGCTTGCCATTCTGGGGCGGGTGTTGACAGGGTCTGGGAAAGTGAAGAGGCCCGCTAGCCGGTTGGTCATTGTCCACACCAAACGTGTTTTTTTTTTTTGCGCCAGTGTACTGGCAATGTTTGTCGAGTCCTGCGGAGATCAGGAGCAACTGCTTGGGATGCATGAAGCAGTCACATGATGGGCCGGTGGCTTTTTGAAGGGAGCATGTGTTGCCATTCAGCCAATGCTGCGCTTTTCAGAAAGCTGGCTTTGTGTAGTTTGTTGGTGTTTTGATTTGCCAAGCTCCCGTGCAGTGTTTGGATGGTTGGATGTTGTTCAATCTATGTGCCGGGCTGTGAATGGCCCTAATTACACGTGCTGAATTTGACGTTGAATGCTGATTTGGTGAACACTCGTTTTGGTGACTTGGCCTCTTGTGACCCACCTGGCAGGATGTGACGGTGCTGCGCTCGCCCGAGCCCTCGCTGGACGAGTGTCCACCAGGCGTTGGGATCTAGTGAACTTGACTTCTGTCGCGCACAAGCCGAGGGCTTGATGACTGGATGGGCAATCGGTAACAAGTAGCGCGTAAGCAACCGAGCGGAGCAATCAGTCAAGGTCGGTCAAGGAATTGGACTAAAGATGCGGCAGGCAGTAGGGCAGCCCACAGAACGCAATGAGCAATGTTGCCATGCAACCTGTGCTTTCATTGTGCACCCCTTTCATTTTGGCAGGCAAACGGCTTTCACAACACTCGCATGAAAGAGGGGGGAGCGAAGGCAACGTTGAAGACAAGTTTGTTTCCGGGTGGCGAGGATCCCTGCTGATCCGGGCGAAGTATGCCTCCCTTTGTGGTTCGGACTTCCCGTACTTCAGATGCCCGGCAGAGTGCGGTGCTGGGATTTGCTTCCTGTTTTGAGCTCAAGACAGGTGTGTGTTTGTTTGTCTGTGTGTGTGCAGGGTTTTGGTCCACCAGGTTGTGGCTTTGTATTTCTTGATGGCCGGCCCGCGTGAAACCCAAGAACGTTGGAATGAGATGGCCCTGCTTCAAGCCTTCCAAGGAGACATGGCCAGCCGCGCTGCCTCCTGCTACTGGGACCGCGATGGATTCTGCGGACATGAGGCCTTCCAGTTTGTTGCTTTGAGCTGCGGCGTTCCACCGAAGAGTTTTCGTAATTCTCCTGGCTCAGACTCCAGGCAGTGGGAGTGGTGGTCGACTCGCGCTCAGAGCGCTTCTGTGTGGGTGACTCCGTCTTGTCGCTGCCCTCCTCCTACTTCAAGGCCGGGCCAAGGCCTGTCGGAAGCTAGGTGAGACATGGTGACACGAGGGGGGAGGGCGCTCGGAGCTGGCAGCCGAAACGCGCTGAAGCATCAGGCGCACGTCGCCACGAGGCAGGAGTGGTTTGACGAGAAGGTGCACGGCGCGCTTCACTCAGAGTGTGGACTGCCCACAGGATTTTCGGTTTGTAAACTCGGCTGGAACCAACATTTGCCAAACAGTGAATCAGCTCCCATGGTTTTTTAGACTCCTTAGAGGCTCCAAGTCTCTCCACGAAACATCTTTTCCATGGCCTGATGGATCTTCTTTCAGATCTGGGGTATGAAGGGACTGGAGGTTTGCAGCTGCCACCTTTCAAAAGCTCAGTTGCCCAAATCGAGCTTTGGACCTTTTTGCTCCAGTTGTGCCGCATTTTGAGTGGGATGTCTCAGTACAGAGTAAGGATCGCGAGAAACATACCCTACTAAACGCACATTCGTGTTTGGTGCACATACGAGAGTGATCCTGTTGGAAGGTCCTTTTGGAAGCTGACAGTGCACGCCTTGTTTGCGGAAGCCGGAAACTCCGGGCACAGGCTAAGGGTAGGTACTTGGCGTGAACCTCAAGGATGGCGTTTGGGAGAAGTCCAAATCTGAGGTGCTTCTGGAAGACTTCCCAGTGCGCGGCGGCTTCAGCGCCCCTTGGCCGCGCGTTTTTTCATTGGGGATGGCCGTGGCCAGGTCGTACCATATGATGAATATTCATTATCTCCCTCGGGATTGCCTAGACAAATCCTCCATGAAAGTGTGGAAGAGTGGCACGATTTCATCGTCGCTCGGCGGAAAGGGTCGATTTTTCAGTAATTGTTCAATTGTTCCACATGCACTTGCCTGAGCCAACTCAACCGATGCGCTCTGAACCAAAATGCCACACCGCAGTTTCGGATCCAGGTCTTGTCAAAGCCATCGGCTCATTCCCAACATGTTTGCCATGTGCCCCTGGGGCTGAAAGATGCATATTTGTTGAGCCCGTCAATCTCCGTGGCTGAAGGAAGTTTTTCCCAGCCACGAGCTTTACACCTACAAGATCAAGGACTGTGCTGCTCTACTGCTCCTTGCATCGGAACGGGAACGCTGAAGGTATGAAGGCTGTGGGGTGTTTGCGCGTGTTTGGTGCGAATTCAAAAGACGTGCTCAATCTCAAGACAATGCCCAAATGTTGCTACCAACAAGGTCTGCGAGTGGGTCCTGGGGGCGTCCCGAAACAGTTCGCAGGAGTGTGTGCCTCGGATGCTTGCAGCGCAAGCTCTAGGAACGCTGCTCCGCATGGTGAGGAGCCACATTTGTGCCACCAATGAGCCCAGTCGCCATTGTGAGCATGGAGCCCAGTTGACCAGCGCTGTCACAATTCCCAGTCGCAGGAGACTTGGCACATTCATCGGCAAGACCGTGGTCATCCTCGGGTGGCTCGGCAGCGCCTGAAATCTGAAGCCAGGGCCTGTCGGCTACTGGCTCATAGCCTTGCTCAGACCTCGTGAAGCCACCCTTCGGATCAAAGTCTTTTGTGCTCGTCTCAATTGCAAGTCAAACTGAGGTATTGACCCGAAGAAGGCACCAGGAATCACCATCTTTTCGGGTCAATGTTTGATACCTGGTGCTGTCTTTTCGGGTCAAAAGTAGTTTGTTGCAAAAGTTCGAGCCTTCCCGAGGCAGGGCCAGAACGGGCTCCTGGCCACGCGCCTCATGGCCCAGTCTTGCGCCAGGCCGCTGTCGCCCAACGCCTCTCATGGTTTCGCATTGCATGTGGCTCCTTTGCCTTCTGCACATTGGAAGCAAGTGTCATGGATGCTTGCTGGAAACTCCGGGCCTGCCCACGCCAGACTTGAATTTGTTTTGGTGTCACGATGCCCAAGGCACCACTCAATCAAATCCCGAGTACCGTCAAAGCGAATCCCTTGAGGGAGTAAAAATGGAAAAATGCCGTCGCTGCGGGCCCGTCCCCTTTGGGGATTGGGATGATTCGTTCTTTTTGGTTGGGAATGTTAAGAGTACCAAGGATAGAAGGAAATGCAACGCATTTTGATATAAATGATACGGTACGCTCCGAGAGGCACGTGATTGCGGTGGAGCCCTTGGCGTCGCGGCGGGCCTTGGCCACGCAGTTCGGTGCCACGCACGCGGTGACGCCGCAGGAGGCGCCCGCGGCGGTGTTCCAAGTGGCGCCCAAAGGGGCGGATCTCGTGCTGGAGATGGTGGGCCACAACCAGGAGACGCGCTTTCCTCAGCCATCTCAGAATCTGGCTGTGGGTCAAAAATAGGTACCCATTTTGGGAACCCTGGATGGACACATGGACTAAAACCTGCAGTCTACTGGTACTCTAATTTTGACCCGCACCCATCTCAAGGGGAGTTTGTGTCTCAACCGCTTTCGAACAAATCCACATCCCGCATCCGAGCCGTACGGACCGGTGTGAATGGGTGGGTCTTTGGAAAGTCGCATGCCGCAAGGTACGTACGTAAGTGAGAATTTGGGAACTGCGCCCGTGGCATTCATCTAATTCCAGATCTGGGATTCGGCCAGAAGGCAACGAAAAGCTCAGGCAGAGCCAGCGGCACCAAGTAGGAAACTGTGAAATCTGTCCGATGCAGAAGATGCGCCAGGTCCAATTCGCAAAGGGAGGGTGCGTCACTCGAGGAGACCATCAAAGAGGCCCTGGAGCTTGTCGCGCCTTGCGGCATTGTGACCGCCTTCGGTGTGCCAGACGACAGCGCCGCCCGGGCAGAAGTTTGGCCCAATTTTGCCCCGTGATGGAGCCGTAGATTCCGAATGGAAAAACGGCTGCAACAGATATTGGCTAGGTCGCGGCTGGGAAACAAGATTCATGTGCAAACTGGAGGCCAGCCAGAACCTCCAAATCTCAATGTAATCATTCTGGGGATCCGTTTAGCACGAGGTCTACATGTTCCAGTACGCCAAGTTCTTCCGGAAGAACGCGACGCTGGTGGCATCGGTGATCCCCGACCCAGGCCCCGGGCGCAAAGCGACAGGGGGCAGGCATACGGCGAAAGAATCCACAGTGGAGGCAAGATGATTGGCCCGAACCAAGTCCTGACAAGAGTTAAGTTGAGATCAGTGTTTCGCTAGGCGTGGACTTCCCAGAAGCCGTGGAGCTGGTGGAGCAAGGCCGTTTCAGCACCGAAGGCGCGGCCTTCGGTTGCACACTGTCCCTTTTGCGCCTATCGTTGAACCCAAGTCATCCAAGTCCTTGCGGTGCACCCAGACTCCAGGTATCTTTACCCACACCTTCCCGCTGTCGGAGATCCAGAAGGCGTTCACCATCGCCTCGGAGTGCCTGCGCACGCATTGGCCGTCGAGAAGCGCGCCGGGCAGCTTCTGTTCTTGGGTAAAACTTCCATTGCTACACAGGTATGGGGAAATGTTTGTATTCACCTGAACATGCTTCAGGTATCGGAGTGTGTTTGCAGTCTGACGGCTTGCTCCCAGGTATCAAGACAACGTCGTCAAGGTTGTCTTGGACCTCACATCCCAAGGCAAGCGATAGGTCACCGATAGGTGTTTTCACATAGAGGTTGCCAAGCGATTGGAGTCCTTTGAGCGCGAGCTCTCGATCACTCCCCATTTGAAACGACGCGGGAAAAAGATGCGCTCGCGCAACTTGCGGCTTGCATATTGTCACAAGCCGCGAGTCAACTTGCTTCCCCCAATGTGTCACTTGCAGGAGCTACGTGCGTGCCTGAGATGTGCTGTTCTTGACACTGAAGTGGTGACCGAAGCAGGTTTCTTTATGTTTCTTTGCTTTGAGCCTGGAATAGTAAACCCCTAATTCAGGGACGGTCCTTCCGGAAAATGACGGACCACTCTGAAATGGCGCATGTCAATCAGCCAGATGAATATTCATCTCTCCATTTCAGCCTTGTCACTCCATGGATTGACCATCGGTCATCCTCCGCGAGGATGCCATCATTATCGGCGCCGGAGTCATTGGCAACGCTGTGGCCACGGAGCTCTCCCGGAGCGGCATGCGCGGGCCCCGGAGTCGGGTTTTGGCCAGCGGTGTATCGGATTGACATGTTCTGGGTGCATTAATTTGGCAATTTCTCACCACTTGAGGGGTGACTTTGATAAGTGTACAAATTTATACTGGCATATGGGCTTTGAGTTATTCAAATGCCCCCGGAAAGGTGGACTTTGGCGGGATAAATTCACCTCCAGGCTGTTTGTTTTGCGCGGGCACCGGCAAGGGGCCGCTGGCTTTGAGGGAATCTGCCGCCCAGGAATATTTAATTTGTCAATTCGACCAGCCACCTGTTAGGGGTTTTCCAACCCAGCGTTGCAGCCCAACAGCTGAATCTTGACGTTGGCTTTTAGCTCCTGAGTTTGTAATGCTGTTTGCGGGGCTGGGGTCCACAAGCGGGCAGGGCCTCTTCGCGTTGGGCAGGCACCCTTGCTCGAGAACACAAAGCCGACTATTTGGAGTTGTTTTTTGGTGTGTGTGTGTGTGTCACTGAAGCTCGCAGATCCCAGGCCTGTTCTGCCCCCAGGCAGCGAAACCAAGTGTGTTTGTGTGTCCAAATCCACTAAACCCATCTCCCGCTCCCCGGCTAAACGTTCAATTCACATCATCAAGCTCACCGAGGCGCACGCTCAACGTGGACAAGCTCCGCGGCTCTGGACAGGGCTCCACAGGCGAGGCCACGGATTTCAACAAAGGATCTTGCTTCACCAACCGCAATATGGCATCAAGCCGGTCTCGGAGTGTGGATCGCGCACTCCTGAAACAGTTGCGGTTGGGGGTTGTTGGGTATCATCAATTGTTGCTTTGACTTGTTTGATCCCTGTTTTGTTGTGTTGCGCACCTGTATCGGTTTGGGTCCTATGGCGGAAGCCAAATGCGCAGTCATGGGGTTGTGCTACGTTGCGAGGCTACTCCTCCGGCATTTGCAGGATGATGTGCGCATCCAGGTCTCGAGGAAATGGAGAGAGCAGCGTTGGGAAGAACGAATGAAGCAGATTCTTTTCGGCAGCCAGCCTTTTCCCCTTGCAATGGGCGATGTCTCTTTGTCTGTTTGCTTCCCTCTGTTCTTCCTTTGAAAAAAAGCAACGCTTTCGAGACTGCACCGCGATGGCTTGACCGAACATGGCGTTCGGATGCGTTCGGGCTGATTTCGTGACGTAGGTACAGCCTCCTGGACAGCGTGAAGTTCGCATGGGAGCCGCTTGCGTCGAGTTGAACGTCGAACGTGACGGCTCCTGGGCCTCAGCTTGTTGGCAGGTTGCCAGCCAAAGACCGAGCAAAAGCAAAGGCTCCCATCGGCTCCAGTGCCGATCGCAGGAGGGCTATACCTACTACGAGAACTGGAAAGAGCACATCGGCCTGGAGGAGCGACCGTTTCCGCCCGATTCCCATTTCGGTCTTGGCCACTAACCCTGATGGGCGTTTGCACCCGGAGTGTGATTTCGTTCCGTTGCCTCCTCACATGTGCATTGGCTTGGAGTTAGTGCGTAAAGCTCGAATGACCTGGGAGCGCCGAAAGGCCAGGATGTGGCCAAGGCAACGCAACAGGATGCTGGCTTTCGCATATCCCATACAATCAGCGGAGCAAATAGATATAACCACTGATTGATTGATCAACGTGGACTCATCGTGGCTGGCAGCCATTTTTTGTGTTGGGACATTGCCAACCAGCACCAAAATATGTGCGGCCTGCATGACACCTTCATCAACGCATTAACGGTACTGTGAGCAACCTCAGATGCCAGCTAATAATTCGGCTCAGTCACAAAAGCTTGTGGTGTAAGCATCACTCGAGCTCAACAATTGAGCAATCGATGCCACCGCCATGACTGTGGTTGAGCCACTGCTAGGCGTACCGGGTCGGGGGGAGAGATCCAAGCAATATTTGGCGGTCCTTGCACAAGGGGTTGGCCAAATTTAGGAACCTTTCTGAGGAAGCTCAATGCCATTGCCATGTTGTGCTGATTTGAAGGATGTTTGCATCTTGGGCTACAATGTGCTTGTGTCATCATGATAGGTTTTGCTCTTGATGTTGCTGAAGGTTTGCCGTGGATGGCTGCAAGCCAGTGGTTTCGCATGGTGTCTCCTCATGCCTCGTTCCTTGTCGTTACCTGTCAAAGAGGAGTTAGGTTCGGGCAGCGGCTGACCGCCGGGCGGGTCTCACAACCTGAAAGCCAACTGAAAGTTCGTTCCCTGAGCCGCTCTGAAAGAAGGGCGCGGCATCTTTGAATGTACAAACCTTGAACAAAACTGCTGACAGACACCAGTCTCTTGTCAACAGCTCTTCCTTTTCCGCAGTTGACACTTTTCTTCGGACAAGCTGACGTCCCTGTTGCGTAGCGCGCGCTCCCGCGCTTCTGCCTCGCTTGCGAGGCCAGGGCACTCGGCTCCCCCAGCCCCAGGGCCCGGTGCGGCTGTTCCCGCTGTTCCCGGAGAAGGCGCGGCCTCAGAACGAGCCAACGCCAACGCGAGTGCCTCCTGTTTTGATTGGGCGCGTTTCACCCTGAGGGCCGGTCCCTGCCACATCGCACCTCCCAACCACCAGTAAAGTTCAATCCTCGGAATTCACCGTGGTTCGTCCCTGTACTTTCTCCCCCTGACTCCGTCCTGGACCTCCCAGGATCCAAGAACTGAGAAACAATCAAGGGGTGCCTGGGGGAAGTTGCTAGGGCTAGTTGCGGCTAGTTGACCTTAGAGGGTCAAAATGTTGTGTACCATTGTTCACCTGTGCAGCGCATGTTGGAACTTCGGCGCAGGGAGACGGTCAGAGGGCCACTGCCACTCAATTCCTTTTGTGAAGCGCTGCGTTCCGTACCTGGGCACTGGTTACCCCTTCGCGCCACGTTCATTGATTCTGAAATGTGGCGGCTTTTGTGTTGTGTGTGCGACTGCGTGGCAGTTCATGGAGACAGTTTCTTGGGTCCGCTTTGTACCTGTCTCTCCAGACCCCGGCGCTGTGAATCGCCAGGTGCGGCAGGGTGGCACTGTGCTGGTGCTGCACGGAGAGGAGGAGGACTGGTTGGGCAACCGTGGGCCAGGCTGGGACACACCGCGTGTTGGCAATAGAGAAGGCTCGGCTTCAGCTCGTGACATATCTCGACGCATGAAGCCATTGCGCTCTTCTTGCGTTCTTTTGGGCGGAAAAAAAATAGCAGAAACAAAATATTTCGCAACTGCTGAGCACTCAGAACCGCGGACACGCAATTCAGCTGGCCACGCGCGGCCCTCGGCCAGGTGCCGTGCCTGGCGGCGCGACCCACATTGCCCAGACCCTGAGGGAGGAAGGCTTCACGGCCGTGCCTCTCGGTGCCGGCAACGGATGAACAGGCATGGGGAAGAGTCCCCGGCGCCTTTTTCCGTATCAGTTTCGCTTATTGGCTATCAATTGGCTGCTTTTTCCACGGGTGTGCTTGCGCAGAGAGGCATCCAGGCCCCAGGCCTCGTTTTCTCGTTTTCGCGTTTTTCATCTGGAGCCTGGCGCCTAAGGCTCTTAGACTCTTTCTTCGATGGTCGCCGCAGCCGCCTTGAAGAGGACCAATCTCAGATCCACAGCAATTTGGATGTTGAGTCTGAGTGAGGGAAGGTCATTGCAGCAGAGAGAGAGAGAGAGAGAGAGAGAGAGAGACCTGCACGCGGGCTGCCGGCACGTGCCCGCACACTGCCACCATGCCCGCCTGCTGTACACGTACGCACTTCCAATCTGTCTCAAGTTGTGCCAACATTGACAGCATGACTTCTGCCAAGCTGTGTGCATTGTTTCAATGTTCAGGAGGCCAACCGCAGGGTGTCAGATATCCTGGCAGCCTTGGTGTTCCTGGAATCGCGCGTCCTGACTGGAGAAGTCTGAAAGCCTTCCTGGTGTCCAATATCGCATTTGTTTGCAAATACGGCCTGTGACCGAACCCTAAAAGCAAAAAAGGTCATACGGATGCCAGGTAAGGTGTGGATCGGTAGAGTTGGGGATGCGCTGAATCGGTTCACAGGGCACAAATTTGCGCTGCAATTTGAGGTGACTTCCCGTCACCTTTCCATCTCTACGGCCACCGCGAAGGCTGCCAAATGGGAGGGTCACATACTAATCACACATTCCGTTGAGACTTGAAAATCGATTGGCTAGTTGCTACATGCTGCCACATTGCCAATGGACTTCCCCCAAAGTAACACCAGGCCTCACCCACCCACCCCTCCCCTCCCCATCCCCTGCCTCGCTGCACCGCACTTCGCTCGGCCCGAAAACCGCAGCTTTCGGCCAGGCACCTGGCCCGTGATGCAGCTCCTGGCCGCGCCCAAGGCTGGCGGCCGCGTGGCGATGGAGGCGAAGTGGGCCACCGGCCGCCTGCGCGGGGCCCGGCTTTGCGAACGCTTCGTGCTCTTCTCCGGGCCAAGAATGCTTTGGGCATTTGTTATCTATAGGGTATGGGTCAAAATTAAACAGGGGGGGGTTACGCAGGTGTTGGTCCATGGTTCCATTTACCAGGGTTCCATTTTGGGTACCCATTTTTGACCCACAGCCCTGTAAGATATCTGTGGAACACATGCAGGGGCTAAGATGCAGGTATAGGAGGTATAGGAGGGATAGGCTAGGTGAGCCTTGGCCCATGTCGTTCGCCATGAGGTAAACGCTTGTTTTGCACGGGCTCTGACATAGATTGGCCGCCCCAACCACAGCTGGGAGCTAGATTTTGGGAGGGCCACTTAGAAACAAGGGGCCTAACAAGGTCGAGCTGCCTGTGCGACTGCAGCGGCCTGGGTGATCTTGATGTGCAGGAGCCAATGATGCAAGCTGTCAGGTTTGTTCTTGGGGCAGAGTGCCGTCAAACCGTGTTTGACGACAATGGCGCCAATACGCGTTTCCAACAACTAACTCCATGCGCGTCATGCAATGAACCACTGCCAGATCTGTTGCACGGAGTGTTTGAGACTCATCAAGCACCAGCAGCGAGATGGCAAGTGCCGTTCCTGTGAGCCGCGCAGGAATTCGAGAGCCTGCAGACAGCCTTGGAGACGCTTGGCAACAAAAATATGATGTCGTTGACCATGCTTGCTAGATGTGTGTTGGAGTTGAGCAGGCGCCTTGTTTCACTTGAAGGAGTCAGGAAAAGCTTCCAACAGTCAAATTACTTGTTAGCGTAAGTGTTCTCTGCAATCGGTAGTAGCTTGGCCAGGCTGCGCTTGCCAGGGTTTGAGGGACAATTGCTTTGTCGACAGTGTTGTGTTTGTGTTTGTGTGTGTGTGTGTGTGTGTTTGTTTGTCTGTGTTTGTGTGCACGTCTTGGATGTTGTAGTTTGTGTAGCCGTGATTCGCATCCCCGGCAGGAGCTCGGGCTTACCCCCCTCGCTGCTCATGGCGGACCCCGGCGCAGAGCCCTTGGCGCGGCAATTGGCGTCGGCGCTGAGCGAAGGCACCGAACCCATGGAGGCGACGACTGATGTTGCAACGATTTCAGGTTTGGGTTAACTTTTCGTTGGATCGTTGCATTCTTGAATATTCTTGATTTCTTTAGAAAGTATCTTATACCCTTTTGTGTTTTGCAGGAAAGAAACAAGCATGTAGGCGGTTTTTCTGGTACGAGGTCTGGCCCTATAGCCCCATGCAGTCAGTCGTTTGACGCTTGGAGGGGGCCCTTGCATCAAGCAGCAAAGGTGTAGATTTCGGGGACTGCAGGGCGAAGTGCTCACGATGCGTCAAACTGCTTGGGAGGGGCGCTCATGAAACGTCCACTGTGCTTGCTGGGTCTCCTTTCACCGCCAAGATCGTTCCTTCTGCCATCCCAAAACTTGTTAGCTTCCACGTGGCGGTTTTTCATTGCAAAGATTCCTGCGGATGCGAGTCATTTTCAGGAGCGGGAGCTGCTGCCGGATGGGGAGTGTCGTGTGCTGGGCCATGTGACGGAGTCGGGCCACGTGCGCTGCGTGCTGCGCTGCTATGCGACTTGGACCGACCGTCGAACCGACCAGTCGCCTTGCGCCCGAAATCTGCTTCACTTCGGTCTGTTGTGTTCCAAGGATTTGGGAATCACGATAAAAACCCCACACAGTCGCACTCTATGGCTGTATGGCTGAGCATGAAGTGCAGGTGGCAGTACTTGGCTTGTAGGTCGTGAGGAGTCCTGGTCAACATGTCCCCAGGAGGTCGTACAACTGCAGTTGGCCCTCGGGATCCCTTCTTGTTGGCGATTTGGCAACTCGTCAACCCACAGAATTAAGTTCTGAAACGACTTGGACCCCTGCCACATGCGAGGAGAACAGTGCCGCTCTTTGCTATGTTAAGGCACGTTACAACTAGGCAAAACCACTGTAAATCGAAAAGGAGGAAACCGGTGGATCACAGGTGGTCCCAGGTAAGCCCCTGATCAGGGACACGTTGCTCGAAAACCACGTATAGTGATTACCATGCGATAACCACGTGATTTTGAATGCATTGCCAGCAAGCCTCTTGCCGACTGAATGCCGAGCAGTAAAGATAGGTCTCAGTCATCAACAGAAGACTACGTGAGGACGATGGCAAGACTAGACATACAACGGCTAAAGCACTGCAAACCAATGAGGAGGAAGAACAACATGACAACTATCATAACATGCCTCGCCTAAATTACTCCAAAGGAGAAGTCACCGCCAACGGGGTACTGCAGGAAACCTTGTGCGAGCGGTTATGACATATGGGGTCTGATCAAACGGTCCTTTACAGGGCATGACCATTGGGGGAAACCACCAAAACAATGAGAATCCCCACTGAATGTGAACAGTTACCCCTTGCCGGAAAACTGCGACTTCACAACAACTCCACAGTGCGGTGCGATGTTTGCAAGACCCTATGGCAACTAATCACTGAGATTCTCATGAGGGGTTCCTCTATGACAAACATGAGCCAGGCACATCCGCTTCACACATTCCACCAGCGTTTGAGCTGCAAAACCTTTGAAGCCGAAGAAGGTGAGATGATGCGCTGCTTTCGCCATTGAGACTCAAGTCGCTGCAGGGTACCGTTGGTCCATGGTCCCCGTCAAGGTGGACTTTGATAGGGATGTGTTAACATCCTCATCGAATCAAACCACCATGCGGCGCACAGCTTTGCTGAATTATCCGGCGGCGGCACGAATGATATCCAATTTGTTAGGTATGTTTTGCCCTATGTCCATTTTTGCAGTGTGATTAAAGCCACTCGTCATTGTGAAGCGACATCATGCCGTGAGTGAGACGCCAAGGACCGTGATGGCGACACAGACGTTTCCGCGAAGCAGAGCGACATCTTAGCCTGGCTGCAGCGCTTTGATGAAGAGATTTGGGCAGAAGTGTCCTGAAGGTGTCAAATAGACCCTCAAGAGGGATCACCTGTTTCAGTGGCACCAGGGATAGTAATTCGGCCGCGTTTTTTCGGCAGATGGACAGAGCCAATCCTGCGTTTGCGCTGGTTTCACCAGCGTGAACGGCCGGCGGTCGCAGAAAGCGACCAGCTAGCTTAGGGCCGGCGACTCCTCAAGGAGTGCGTGTCCTCTCGGTGAGCTCTGGCCCTTTCTCGCGCCCAATTCGTTGCGACAGGAGAAAGTTGTGATCTCAGGGCCTGTTCGTTTAAGGCGTTGGTGTTCCATGTTCAACGCTTTTCCTTGACAGCCCCATAGAGGTTTCCATGTCATCGTGATCAGGATGGATGGTTTCAGCGTCCTTGAATGGCGTTGAAGTTTCAGCAGTCGAGGAGAGACAACCTCCTCTCTGTCGGACTCCGAACAAAGTAAGAGCAGCACAAGCCACAGCAAAACATGTTTCTTTGCAAGGGCAAGTTGACGTTGGCGAGCTGCATTGGTTACACATATTATACATAACTTGCATGACCAAAAATGAGATCACCTCGTCTCAGCAAATCCTAGCAGTTTGTGGTGTGCCAACCAATATGGTAAGAGTTGATTGGCAAGTGCCCAGCCGCGCCTGTCCACTGGGTGAAGTCCAAGGGTCCCATCCGTAACGGTGGCTCCGAAACGATGCCCTTCGCGCAAGCAAGCAACGAGCCAGCCACCTGCAACCAACCAGCCAAGTCCGCCAAGTCCACCTGCCGACGGGGGAGCCGCTTGCAACTGTGCCGAATCACCCAATCCACCCCCCGCCCCCCGCCCTCCCGTCCCCAACCTGGGCCCATCACAGGAGGCTGCTCAGAGAGACTGACCGCTAGGACCCCCCGGGGGGCCTGGCGCGCCTCCGCGCGTGCGGCGCCCTCACTCTCCGGGCCCCCCAGAGCAAAGTCTTCCTGGAGCGCGTGGCTACATGGTTTGGAACTTCGGTGGTTGTTTTGAGACAGTCTTTAGATGTCGTTAGTGGATGCAACTCGCGTTTTCTTTTTGTGGGTTCTCCATTGAACCTGGGACAGCTTGTTGTTAGTTTTGCGTCAGAGGGGGAGGAGAGCCACGCAGACAAGAACAACTTGAGGGGATGCCACGCAATAGTTCAGCTTGGCAAGGATTGCTTTAGGACCTTTCTCAAGCCACAATTTCTATCGCGGTGTCAGCCGTAGATAAACCTTGTGCCCTTGCTTGGCCAAAACATCCCTGGAGAAGACCATGCATGTTGCATGAGATGGCAGGGGCTCAAAATTAAACAGAAGGGGTTACGCGGGTTTTGGTCCATGATTCCACTTACCAGGGTTCCATTTTGGTACCGGTTTTTTGAGCCACACCCAGATACTGTATGATGTGTGGCCTGATGAGCACTGGACCCCGTGATTTGTCTACGTTTCATGGCTGAAGCACTGCCTGCGCTTGAAAGAGGTTGAAGGCGTAAACTTCACTTGCTGTGTGCGTGTGTGTGTGTTTCTGCCAGGTAGAAGTATTGGAACTGGTGTTTGCGCACTTTGCATACCGTGGTATTGGCAAAGCAATGTAGCCTGTGGCGCGCACAACTGGTGCATGTTGTGTACACTGTTCCAGACAATCGGTGTTCTTTCCAAATGGTGCGGCCTTCCCGAAGCCCTGGACACCCAAGGAGTGATTTTCTCAATGTCAGGAGAAGACCAGATGTCGGTGCTCGTTTCAAAACCAGATGTTTGCCGGACCCGATGGTTTTGCGCAGTTCTAGGTTGCCAGCCACCGGGCGGTGGGCCTCCCCTTCGAAGAGTGGGATGCCGACGAAATCCGCCGGCGCCTGCGCTTTGACCTGCAGAGCTACGGCCCGCAGGCTGTGGATCGTTTCTTTTTTTGCTGCGTGAAATTCTCTGCCACGTGTCTTCAATATGAGGCGATTAGGAACGAAGATGCGTGTCTCCATGAAATCGCTCGCCAGCTGGCAAACCCGTTGCCGCTGGTAAGAACGAGCGACAGGGGGGTGCAGCCTTGCGGGCCACAGCATTCACTCCAAAGGAGGACCCTTATGGATCTTGGAAAGACAATTGAGCAGCTCTAAACGCCCACCTTTACGTGCGCAAGAGTTTTCTGTGTAATGCACTTTTTGGGAACCATGCTGCGTAAGCGCCCGCGGAGGCTCTGCTTCGTGAATGCTTGCAACAGTTTCTAAAACACAACGGCTACTGCGCAGCAGATTCAGCGAAAAAAAGGTACGCCCTGATGCCGCAAAGGCCATTCCTTGATCTGCAGTGGAGGCAACACGAACTCTGGAGGCAAAGTTGTCGGCCAAGTCTAAATCGCTGAGTGAGAGGGCTACAAAGCGAAGCCCCAAAGAGTAGACAGTGCCAAGATGATCCGCCTGAGAGCAACTCTGCATCAACTTCCTCCTCAGAGTCCGCCACGTTAGCTTGAACAGTGGCGGCTGCATAGAAGAAGGAGCCCGCGTGAGCATGTTGTATGCTTTTATTTATTTTATTTATTTTTTTGGGGAGGAAGCTCAACCGACCTGTAAGCAACGTGCAAGCTTGATATGCTCGCTGACAGCCCTGTAAGCTAAAACATGGGTCGCGCAAGCAAAGCGTGTTCGCGAGCAAGCAACCTTCCACGACATAGGGGTTCATGGCGTATTTGTAGAGTTGCTCAATAGAAGGCCAACAAGATCACAGTTTCAACCGCCGGCAGTTTTCAATTGGGAGTCATTTCAGATTAATTATATGGGTTTTGCTTTGCACGCTTTGCCAAAAACCATCAGCCAGGTACGCATAGACGACGACTCCTTCGGGGAGCCGACAGGCCCAGACCTGTCCAGCGGTGTCTACTTCCCCAAGACAGGACGGATAAGAAATGCGGTGGCAAAAAGCAGTGGAGCTCGTGAGCCAAGCACATGCGCACTGCCCCGATGAAAAGGCCTCCATCGATGCCGGCGCATGAGTGAGAGCAGATTGCGCTGAGAGGATATGTCAGTGATCCGATGCTGGCGGCTTGCAACCTTCAAGCTGCCGCACAGGCAGCTCTCGACCAGAACTGGTTGCCATGTTCTGTCGACAGGGAACTCATTGCTTGATATCATGCCTGAGCAGAGCGTTTGGCGGCGCATTCTAGATCTAGTTGGACACCTTTTCCACCCTTGCTGGATTCAGAACAGAGGGCTCACAGCTTTGGATCAAGACTGATGGGGCTTCTTTCAAAGTGCCGGCCTCTCCTCAGACTCTTTTCGGAACATTGAAGTATTTTTGTGATTTGTATTTGCTGGTGAGCGAACACGCATGCCCGTGAGAGCCTAGTAGAGGTTCAAAAAGCTTCTCATCAATGAGTACAACATGGTTTTATGGCCCCATTGAGCAAGTTTGCTCCGAGCGCCAAGCGGCTTGAAGCGGCTTGAACTCGATGCCCTGCCCAGGCCACGGGCCGTGCAGACTTCGCCTTCGGCCGGGAGGTCACGGAGCTGCTGCGTCGTGGCGGCCGTGCCGCTGGCGGGGGGCCGGGGGGGGGGCAAGGTGTTGATGCGTGTGGCGGTTGGGCGGAGAGAAGCAGGTCCTGAGGTGCTGGGTGTGTAAGCAAGTTTCTGTTGCATTTAGCTGGGTGTGGGTCAAAATGAAATCACAAGCCGCAGGTTTTAGTCCTTGGTTCTATTTGCCAGGCTTCCATTTTCGGCTCCTATTTTTGACCCACACCCATTTAGATGTTTGGTTCTTGCGACTGCAACTTCCCTGAGGCGTCCGCTGCGGGGAGGAAGTCTTCGAAGCGCCCGTGGTGATCAACGTGGCCGGGCCCCACTCCTCGCAGATCACGCGCTTGGCCTTCGAGGAGGGCGAGAACGACATGGCGATCTCCACCCGGCCCATGCGCCAGGCGAGCCGTGCGGCATGCGTGGTTCGGACTTCGAACTAAGTGGCGCTTGGGTTTAAACGTGGCGCAGCTGTCGTCTTCGTTTTTGCGCCCTGTTGTTCCAACCGTTGTTGCTTGTTGCTTTGTGAGGAGGTTGCCTACGTGAACTCACCGCCCAATGTGTCCTGGGGAGATGATGGCGAGGGCCTGCTTTGCACCGACCTGGACACCGGCATCTACTTCCGGACGGGCTCATTGGGTTTTGGGTTTGCCTCGCAAGGCAATAGTGACGCAACAGTGTAGCGATGTGCACCGATTCAACTTCACGTCTGACAGTTTTCACGGAGTCACTAAGACTCAACTTGTAACTTGCTTGAGCTTCTACGCCAAAACCACGAGACAAGCGGCAATCAGACATGACACCTCGTCATGTAGGCCAGAAGTGGGTGGGAAGATCCTGGTAGGGAGCGTGGAGCCGAGCTGCGATGATCCCTTCCATATCTATCCCAGCGACCCCGAGGCCAGGGGAGGGCTTGCCTGAGCTGGATTTGACAGGGCGTTATAGTTTTGTATGTGAGCAGCCGGTTTGTAAGAATCAACTGTGTTTTGCAGTGTACTTTTGCAGGTCAGCCTCGCAACGTTGCAAAGCTACGGCTACGGTCCTCACCCAGCCAGGCTGTGTACCCGGGCGGCGAGCTTGCATCCCTGACGGATCAGTGGACGAATCAGGCTGCGGTGAATGCAGAGTTTGCAGTCCAAAATGAGAAAAGTCGTAATGCGTTGAATTGGTGTTCACTTTGACAGCGCTGTTCCGGGACGCGGCATACAGTCAGAATGTCGTTGTCGAGGGTCCTTGGTGCTTCAGTGGAAGCGCAGACGTTGCTGGAGCCAAACCAAACCTGGATCCCCATGTGTTCACCTTGAATCCCGCTTGTATCAACTCCCAGTTTCGCCAGAATCCACTCCGCACTTTGGTCATTCCTTCGTCATCGGCCAAAAGTCATGGTCCGTCGGAGGTCTACCGCTTGGCACTGCGCGTCCCCACGCTGCCGCTGCCGGAAGCCGGCAACGTGCAGGGCTGCGCCGCCTGCTACGACGTCACCGAGGATTTGGGCCATGTCGGCTTAGCCATCCTTATGCTATAGTAAAGGCTTCGGAAGGAAGCATAGCATTTCAAGCAGGAAAGTGGAAAGGTGACCGGAGAACGATGGTGTCCCGCTTTGTCGCATGTGACTTTTGCCAGGACTGGGTCCCCATCTACGACAAAAGCGCCCTGCCAGGCTCATTAGCCGCCCTGATCCCCGGAAAATTCATAGAGTCAATGTGAAAGGTTCCGAGCCTCTGCAAATCGTCCGGTTGAAAGGGTGCCAAGTTGGAGGAGCAATGCAAGTCCCAGTCGCGACATGTCCCGACTTTTTTCTGGGAGGCTTCTACATGGCCATCGGCACCAGCGGGAACCAGTTCAAGAATGCCGGCCCAGCTGCGCGGCTGATGCGCGAGCTGATCGAGGCCTGCGCCTGCCTGCATGTCCTTGGTTTCAGGGTATACCTCTCGATTCCAATGAGTTAATTAGCTCAGAGCCTCAGAGCGTGCAACGTGATCTTTGCGTGTGCAATGTGTGCAACTTCGCCGTGAGTGATCAAAGGATTTGCAGCCCATGGGCAACCAACCCTGTATGACAAGAGTTGGTCCGTTCATTTAGTTGATTCGGGATGCAAGGCGTTGGTTAGATCCTGCAATGCGTGATGGGCAGTGATGGGTGTTCTTTTCAAGGTGAGGGACCCTTCAAATGCTGGATTTATCAGAGGTTCCCGTGAAGACCATTATACAAGGCGCCGTGAAGACCATTTATATAAGGCGCCTCTTATTTGATCTTGCTCAGGCAGATCATAATTTTGTGACGGGCCTTGCCGTTCAGGCAGCGGATGCAGGCCGAGACACGGATGTGCAGCCGTTGGATTTCGAGCTGAAGAGGAGTCTGCGCGTGGCAGTTGTTCTGTCTATGCTGGTACTTTTGAGCCAATGTGTTGAGTGGGAGCATGCAAGTCCCCAGCAAACGTCAAGCATTGCGCACATGAGCAAGGGTCAAAACACGCCATGAAGAGATCTTTACTTCGGCCGCCATGACATGACCAACATGTTTTCAACCATGTAGTAAGCGACAGGGGGCCCATGAAAAGCGGCGCCCGTGTTCAGGGCTAGCCGGATTCAGTTGATGTGGTTTTGCACAATCTAAGCCTATCATGGTTTCTTTTGATAGCACTCACTAGCTTAGTCCTAGGTTTTTGTGTTAGACATGCATGCCATATTCCCAGCATAGCATGGTTCTTGAACATGCCGAATCAGACTACGCGTCTCAGATTTCTGAGGAGAGAGTGGGTGTTGGTCCAGTATAGCTTCTTTGTCGTGTTTATGTTTCTATTTTCTGGTAAGTGCCTGTCGAGCTTTGTTTTGTGGCAATATGTTTGGCATTGTCAGTCCTAATTCGAGCATATGTCTACCATGATGCGCCTAGCAGCTATAACGCGATCCTTAGCATGTGGCTAGCACTATCGCCGCTGAACAACTGCTCGCACTGCCTCTACATTGGGCATGTATTTCTTTCTGACATCGCAGATCTGTCAAGCATATCCCTGGCAGACGTCCAGCATTTGGACACAACAGCTATGAACGGGGCATGTCAGGCGAAGAGGCTAACCGTCAAACAACTGAAGCGTTTCAACAATACAAACAACATGTTCTCGTTCCCGCCTGAACATGACATGACATTGACATGCCCCCAAAGCTTTTGCGTTGTGCTGCTTGTATTTTTGATAACTTGACGTTCTACCTCTTTCGGTGGCCGAGCCGGCAAATGGTGGCCATGCAGACGCAGGATACCCTGTGGCGGAACCATCAGCAGCGCCTCCTTCTCTAGGAAGCGAGCAGTCCTGGAGACCAGCGGCTCCGTGCTGGGGTGAGAGAAATCATCGCGGGAGCACTTTCGGACACTGGTAGACATTTCGGATCTCTGGCTTGACGTTTTTGGAGCCCCTGGTAGATAGCCAGTTCCCAACCCACAGAGATGCAGAGGATTCCGGGCGACTCACTGGAGGGCTTGAGTGTTGTTCACGAGAGACCTCCGAGCATGGCCGACGACTTTGCTCAAGGGACGACCCAGGATGAGGTGAGCTCAGCAGAGTGTTGCCTCCAGGCTCGGTTCGCTTCAGACTTAGGAATTGAACTGTCTCTAATATTTTTCATGTGGATGGGACATATGGATAGATCAGCATGTGTGCTCGGTCCATCGGTGTCTACGGAACCGACATTTGCCTTCCACGCCAAGCTGAAACTGCAGCCGAGTTGGGTGGGGGATGTTCCAGAAATACATGCGGCCATCTTCTCGGCTTAGCTTGGTTTTGGGCGCCTTTGAGGCGCGATGGCTGCGGCTCCAAAGCCAACCTCCACAGCACGGGGGGTGCTGCCAGGCAGGGGTTGAGATTTATTGAGATGAGGGAAATCTGGAATCCAGATTGATGGGTGGTTTTCGCAGGTTTGATTCTGGGCCCGTGGGGCTTTTGCCTCGATACTGGGATGGTGGGCCTAGACATGAAGCGCACCAGTCAGCCGTGTGGGCGTGCATGGCGCAGGCATCCCTCACTATGTCGACAGGGTCTCGGCCGAGTGCATTTGGAAGGTGCCGGCTGCCGGTTCGAAAGATCAGCGAGCGGGGCCTTAGGCAGACGGGAGCCCTCCCTTGGGCTGCGCTCATCCAGAAAGGGAGGGGTCCAAACTGAAGCTCATCCCATGCAAATTCCGATGCGAGTTTGATCATCTTTCGCCAGGAGACCCTGGATAAGGAGTGCAGGCTCTACCAGGAGGCAAGCACTTCGCACATCTTCGCACAGCCGCATTGATTTCGGCACAGAGATGATTGGTTGGCATGCAAAGACAACGACGTCACTTAGTGGTCACTTGTGGTCACTTTATCTTCAAAACGAAGGGGAGGGGTGCTTCCTCTTTCCGCCGGTGCAGGGCAGGGCACAGAACGCCGGGCCGCAGCCCTTTGCACCAGGGCCCAGGCGTGTGCTTCCTTTCAATCCCCAAGGGTTCCTTTGCCTCCCGATGGTGTGGGGGATGTTCCGCGCTAAAGAAAAGCCAGTCCCAACCCATTGCTTCCAGATTGTGCAGCCCAAGGATAAGATCACAGAACCATGGCCGAGTGAGCCAGAAATTCCAGGAGAGGCAATGCTGAAAGCCCATTTGACATTTTCAGAAAAAAAAGAGAAAACAGTTCTCAGCTGACTTTGAAGATCGATTCCTCGATTTTTCAAAGCCAGTTGCCCCGTTTCGCAGCCACGGAAGCGGTGCTTGGTCAGCGGAATCCGAAGCCCGAGGTCATGAACTTGGCCAACGCCCAGCGCTTGGGCGATTTCATGGCCAGGGCCTCATCCAACCGACGCGCGACATCGTGAGCACTTGCATCAACGGAAGACAACCGAATCCAGGCAATTGTCTATGGCACCAACCGAATCAGATATATGAAATACTAAATTTATAAATATATATATTATATATATTATTTATTATATTATGGCCAATGCTGCTTTATCGCACAGCGCTAGTTTGATATCATTTTCAAATGGGCGGCAGTTAGACGTGTTTACGTACTTGTCTTGCAAAAACCTCTACTCCATTGAGTCAGGGGGGCAGATGTTGTTGGCTGAACGCTTGCCTGGCAGTTGCGGCTTACAATTTGTGTGCAGCTGTACTGGCTACCCTCCCTCCAACAATCATAGAAGCTGACAGGACGGTTTTGGAAGATTACTTTCCTTTTGGGAAAGCCCTCTGTCCACTTCCGTGATTGTTCGAAAGAGGGTACCAGAACCGAGGCGCTGAAACACCGTGACTCGGCAGAGTGGGAAAGCTGCTGTCCGCTTCGTCGCAAACGGGAATCAGCTGGAAAGAGCTGTTGCGCCTTTTGGAGCCACAGAGTGCTGAATCAGGCAATGACTGAGGTCGTAGTTGCCTGCGGGGCTATTGTTGTGTGCGATTTCTTGGAAAACGTCTAAGCGACGCAGGGCGTTCCATTTGGTTCCCAATCTTTTGTTTTTTTTTGTTGCCAGGCTGCATGTGGGTCCATAGGGCTGGAAGCAGGGGTTTGCTCTTGCCTCGGTGGTCAAAAAGAAGTCACATACATCTCCCAGCAGGTCGGCGCGGTGTCCAGCTGGTTACCAAGCACCACGACCAGCTGACTTCCCTCTCCTGATGGGGATGCAAACGCAGTGGACGCTTGTTGCCCGCTCCGGATCAGGCCACAGCCGCCTCGAGATCATCGCCCCCAAGGCGCCGCTGTGACGGATAGGCATGGTGGAAAGATTTTGAGGGAACGTGTGTCGTTGGATATGCCATTGGAAATGACAGTGATAGAACATGTGTGGTTGGTTCAGCTATGTTCATGTTTGAGAACGCATCAGAAGGTACGTCTTTTTTGCATGATTTTCCTCGTGGTGGATTTGGCTGGCAGGTGGAGAAGAACACTCCGCAGGCCATTATGCCAGTGACCAAGTTGCATAATATGACATCAACATCAGGCTCGGCAGGCAGAGAAGTCGGGGTTGTGCGCCAACCTGCGCGCTGGCGCCACTGGGCCAATCAAACGAGGGTAGAGTTGGTCCCGAGATTCAGCTCAAAACTTCCTTGCACCGCACCTTCAGGTTGCGTCTTGCTTCAGGGTAGGGTCACTCCAGGTGTCGTTCCAGATTTGATCTGATACAGATTCGAAGACTAGGGGAAACCAAGCGACAGATGCGGTTAAGTTGCCAGCGTTGCAAAGCTAGACAGTTGACGGAACTCTGCGGCGACGCAGAGGCCTCGGTGTCGCTGAGGTCCGCCGAGGGTGACAAGAATAGCTTTGACTACAACGCGCTGATGCACAATCAAAAGGCCACTATCTCAACAATCAGAGACTCTGAATCAGAGACAGTGTTTGGTTTTGAGTGTGAAGACTCGGCATGTGTGAGAATTTTGCCCAAAAGATCCCCGCTTTGTAGACCACATTCAATTCGCATGAGATCGTTTAGAGGCCAGGAGAACTTATACAGAAGGTTTATCTGAGCGAGCTGAAAGTGCAAGACCTGCGCAGATCCCCTGCGAGAAGTGGGACATCCCCTGCACTCGAGCCCAGGTGCGAGTGTTGCAGAGCCCAGTGTCGACAGTCACACGGACAGCTTGCCTGTTGGCGTTTCCAAATGAGACCATGTCCAAGAAGAATCTTACAAGCCCGTCCAAATGAGAGCCGCCATAGTCTGCCCTTCTTTGTTGTATGGCAGTACCTTCATTCGTTATGCTTGGGTTCTGTGCTCAACTCGATTCGACAAGCGAATCGCTGGCCGCTTGGGTTAGGCTCATCGGAGGCCTCTGATTTTGGCCCGGCAGGAGATCGGATGGCTGATAGCCACTGGCAGCAGTTCCCTGGCAGAGCATAGAGTGAAGGAAAAAGGGCCTGCGGAAATCTAGGGACGAGGATGCCCAATGCTAAAGTCAATCAGCATCGCGCAGTTTGCATCGCTGTTGACCTTACGAAGCCCCATTACCTGACAAACTTGGCGACTCGGCAGCCGTACATCACTCGTTTCTACTGGTAGCACTGCTTGCTTCGAAGTGTTTGCGGCAGTTAAATTCAGATTTGGAGGGGGCTTGCCAATCCTCATGTGACCAAGGTGCCGCAGCTGTAGAACAAAGCAAAGTTCGAAAGAGGTGCCGGCCTGAGCTGGGAAGCCTGATCTTCACAAATGGTTGAGTGCAAAGGGCAGAGACTAAGTCTAATAAGTCCAACCCCCGAACCGGGCAAGAGGTCAAGTGGTGACCACTTCCCACTTTCCGAGGTATCCAGAGGCCGAGGCGCTTGGCATCTGCAAGCCGCACGGGAGCCCAGAATTTGAGCATCGATGCGGAATGCGACAGAGACGCCATGTACCCCACTCCGCCTGACAATCAGAATATCAACGGTCAGAACGGTCAGGCCGAAGAGCCGATCCACGTCCAGCCTGGGTCTCAGCATTTTCAGATTTGCTTGGTTCTGTTGGGGTGTGTGCCCCAAGTCTTAGTTGTCCTTTCAATCTTTGACGAAAAACCGCGTTCTGGTAGATTGTGTCTTCGTTGGGCTTCAAATTTCCATCCGCATGCATGTTTCTCAAGAGCTAGATGCCTTTGGCGAGTGGTGGAGCTTCCAACCTGACGTTCAATCACGTTTCTGCTCGCCAGACGCCGGCTCACTGTGACCCGTACATCGAACACTTTGCGATGGCTTGTCCTTCCTGTTGCAATGTGCGCGGTTTGAAAGCATACGAGGCAATCCCCCCCTGAGTGCCAGGTTTGGAGCGCATTGACCGGGACTTGCCGCGAGCGCCCCCGGACACGCGGCTCCGGGAGCTGAACAACAACCGGCCCGGACACGCAAGGGCTCGAAGTTCTCGTTGCCGAGGTTTGGGCCCATTTCCACCCGACCATGAAACCTGGCAGGATAGTGGCCAGCATGCACAAAAAAGAACTGCAAACAGCTGTTGTGTTGCCGGAGAGGCCTCAGCACCCTGGTTTCAAACAGCTGCTGAAATGGCTTGTCATCCCGCGGAACCAACACGAAATCAAAGGGGAAAGCGAAGAGACTGTTTGTCTGGACCCTAGAAGACAAAGAAGTTTGGGAGTGGAATTGTGGTTGGGATGCATCATTCCTGTTCAACAAGCTTTGGTTGATGTGTTGCTAGAATGAATGATCCTTGTTTTGTTGCGGCTATTGTGTGTGTGTGTGTGTGTGTGTTCACTCCTTTTGACCCTGTTTGCTTAAGGTTCTACCGGCCAAAGACGTGCCTTGGCAAAGAATATAGCGCCGGTCGCAGCAAGCATTGGCAAACTGTGCCCTGCTGCCCGCTTTGCAACTCAATGAGTTTGTTCCTCTAGACGGGCCCAGAAATTGGTGGGGAGTAGAGAGGGCATTTGAGAGGCCTGAGTTGCCCAGTACCAACTTTGCGTTCGGTTGTTCGGCGTTGGTCCTTCCCACACGCCTAACCTCAGGTCCTTCGGATAGCAACAATGCTGGCCTCGAAATGCATCCGCACTGCTCGATGCTTATTTTCTGAGGTTCTGTGAAATCACGCTCTACGCAGACAACTATGTGTCCACGATGCACGCCGATCCGCACTTTGGAAGCACTTGGGCGGGCATTTGCAACATTCCTTGGCTGCGTGCGTATGTGGACTGAGGTTTAGCAAGTCCGGATCTGGCCGTTAGATGGTACCCGGCTTCGCTTTGCCCCCGCATCGACAGGCTGTCCTTGTGTCCCTTGGGTCCGAAGCTTTGTGACTGAGTCAGATGGCCTCAGCCCTTCAAAGAAAAAGAGGAAGCGTCTCAATGCGTCTCACCTCCGCTCTGGCCAAAGGCCAGCTGTCAAGCGGTGCTGCAAATGTGCTTGGCCGTGCGTCTTTGCATCGTGAAGGTCACTCATTTCTGCAGCACTACTCTACTTGAATGCTTGCTGGAACCTTTGGACAAGCCCTTTGCCATGTTCCAAGATCGGTTCGGGTGGGTGCTTGCTTTCTTACCAGGTGAGTCTACCATGGACATAGCGACGTCAGCGACATGACTTTCGAAATGACGGCCCAGCAATTTGGGAACACTTGCTGGGCGGCTTGTTCCCTTGCGTTTACGTATTTAGATGTGAACGAACCTTCTTGGTTAAAGCAGTCTTTTGGAGCCGCTTGCTTAAAACAAAACATTTTCGGCCAAGCAGCTGGTGTGGGGGCTTTATTCGCGCACACAAGCGATGTCAGTCAATGTCCGCCGGCTGCAAGTGCCCATTAGTTTTAGGATCGCATTTGCAACCCTAGTATGCCGTGCCTCGCTAAACTTGGCCAGCTTCTTCCCGGAGACGACCATTCAATTGAGAAAAAACGTGGGTTTTGTACGCAAGATGTGGATAAGACAGCGAACCCAATCTGTTGAATCAGGTTTGATTTTGTGTTTTGTTTTGGGGTACAGAGTCATAAACAAACCTATTCCGAGCTTTCCCATTGAGTAGCTGCCATTGAGGCTTCTGGCACAAAACACACAGACGCACAGTGGCAAAGGCACTTATTTTCCATATCGGTCAAAGCTTCTGTTTCCGTAAATTAACGAATCTAAGTGCCGAAACTTGCATATGCAACGTGTGTGTGTGTGTGTGTGTGTGTGGGACTGTAGTTGCGGAAGGTTTTTGGCTGGATTTCACCCAGGCAGCGAATCACAAATGGCCCACAATGTCCACCCTCAATATGTTACGGGCATGCCTGATTTGCGGGAGGATGCCTTGAGCGACTTCCGAACAAGCTGCCTTCTCGGCCAGCGCCCATGGTCCAAACCACCTTGCAGGTGAACCGACCCGCTCCGATGCATAGGCTGTGGCTGCCGAATTTCAACCGCAGCCATTGCCGAGCTTCGAACCCGCCGGGTTCCATCCGGCACCTGGCCGCGCCCTGAGCGCATAGCTCACGCATAGGGCTGAAAAGGGCCACAGGTGCAAAGCGCTCAGAGGCATGCTGGTGTGTCAAGAAAGCCTGAGGCAGCGCAGGCGCCGGTGCCTTTACTGATGATCCACAGGCAGGTTGTGGAGGGGGGGGAGGGGCGGGTTGGAGGGTTTGCTTCGGCTTTGATGGATTGTTTTAATCTGAGTCTCCGTAACTGCACCTAGCTGTCAGATTCTTTCTCCCTGTGTGAGGTACTCGCCCGACCGCCGGGGCTTGGTCAGCCTGGCATGTGTTGAAACTGGATGGGTGTTCAAGGCCCCAACATGAGGTCTAATATGGCCAGGATTTGTGTGCTTGCGCAGGCATCTCATGAGAGATGTTGCAACCGTTCAGTGCAGCACTTTGCTTGCCTCGATTTGCTTCGGCTCAGCGTCAGCGTCACATCAGCCCAGGGCTAAAGTCAGAGCATCAGAAGCACCATGGAAGGCTCCAAAGGCCCTATAGCCTTGCAGATCCCCGGTTTTTTTCCTGAGTACCGAGTCAGAAAGAAAGAGAGAGAGAGAGAGAGAGAGTGAAGCTGTGTTTTTAAAGACTGCACCACGTGCCGTCCCAATGGTACGCCGCTTCGGCCGAAGCCGTGGCCCACCAGCACTCGCGGCGACCTTAGCTGTGGCTTGCGTGAATGCGGCATGCCCACTCTTGGGTTTGCAAATGGGCGTCATGCTAAAACCCATGTCCAGTGTACTCGCTTTAGTATTTCGAAGTAATTTTGCACAACCCCCAAATGTTCGCAACCAACAGTGTGCAAACACAGAGGAGTTGAGCCTTTCCCGAGGCACTGATTGCTATACTCAGTGCGGAGTTACCCTGCTTCTTGCAAGGCGACGTGTCGCATGTTGCACGCACTGCGCACCACTTTCCCCCGTTGGTTCATTTGGCCGTGCATTTGGCAGGGCGACCTCTGGGCCTTTGCCTCAGAAAGGCCCGTCCAGTTCAACCCGACTGGGCCTTGCCTGACCGCCCCGTTGGCAGGCCGCCTCGCATGAGCCGTGTGCCCCCGAGAAGGCGAGATCCCGAAGGAATCAACTCGCAGTCGGCTCTGTTTGCGCTTGTCCAAGGCGTGATAGGGACGAAGGGAGCAATGAGATAGACAACTGCAATATGCTAGCAACAGGAAAGACGCGCGAGTGACAATATATTATGGGGCCGCCAGAGTGTACTTCTTCCAAACTTGAAAAGCCAAAGTGGGCCTGGACGACTTGCAGATCACCCGAAGGCTGCGCAAGATTGGGGCAGCAAGTCGTTTGGCAGTAGCAGTCACTTAATTAGTGGAGTCATGGAGTTCGCAAGGTCGTATCAAATAGAGGCCGTCGCTCACAGCATTTCAAATCGATTAGAACCACTGCCAGCAATGCTTCGTTATTTGGCAGACGAGCAATGCTTCCTTGTCTGGGAGACAACACTTCCAAGCATCCTTGAGGCACAGCAACATCACCGGTTCTGAGTTGTTCGGCAAAAGAGTGATTGCATCCACTTTTCTATTCAAGCATAGCGGGGCAAACATACTTTCGTTCCTTTCATGTCGACTGAGCGACTTGTGCACCATAAAAGGGTTGCTTCATTCACAACAGCTGTCCCAATGTGTCAACATGTCAACATGTGTCCGCCTTGCACAGGGCTTTTGTTGGTACTTGGCTTTCTGCTCCCGAGCTTCCACTGCCATGTTTTCAGCCCGTTTCGATCGCGTCTCCGTCGGGAGGTGCTGTCCTTCAGCTTCGACGCCCTCTCGGTGGCGCCGGAGCAGCGGCACCCGGTGATGTGCTCCTTGGCCAGGCGCATGGCGGTGGCTGAGAAGCTCCAGGCGGGGTTAACCGCCCGCGCGGCGGAGTGGGAAGCTGCGAGGCGGGATCGAGGCGGGAGGCTACGGCAGGGAGGAGTGACTGGGATGAGCTGGGCGATCCCAGTGGCTTGGAGCTTTGGGACGAAGGTTGGTCCTCCGCCTTTGGAGCCGTAGCAAACATCTCCAGGGTTCGGCTGCCTTCCAGGTGCACGACAGCAGTGTGGATGCCTACCTGCAAGAGTGCTTGGAGAGCATGCCTCTAGACAATCCCTACCATGGCCAGTCTCACGTCTTGGACGTGCTGCAGAGCCTTTGCTGCAATACCTCCAACAGGGCCGGCCTGGTCCAAGATGGCTGTGTCTTGTTTGGGGCCCCCCAAAACGGTGGTGTTCCTTTGGGTTCCTTTTAAACCTAAGCCAAAAGGCGGTGATTTCAAACAAAGCACCCATATGTTTCAGCAACTTCAGCTTGTGGCGATTGCTTGTGTTTGGGCTTGACTTCGCCACACTGCCAATTCTCAACATCACGAGATGCGATGTGCTGCAAGCAATACATGCACTTTCTGCTGGCCTTCGAGAGAAGCAATATGGGCTTGGGGGAAAGAATCGCCCTTTGCCTCGCTCGCGCCGAGGTTTTTGACGACTCTGCTTTCGGAGACGGGCCTAGAGTCTCGGCCTGCACAGACCGCTCACTGACTCACAAGTCTAGCTGCTTGCATTGGGAGCAAATGGCCTTGGGGCTATCATGACCTTGATGCACAAGCTGCGGTCATGCCAAAGTGCGGCCTTTTCAAGGTCCCAAGCTTGCATTCGTGCAATCTCGCATGTCCCACTTGGAGGATGATATTGGGCAAGCGGTATTTAGATAGGATCAGCCACTGGTTCAATACACTGTTTCTTTAAAACCATACAGTTGAGAGTAAAACAGTTCAGTTGCTTCTGACCCTTTCGATCCTGTTTGCAAGTCTAAGGAGCAGGCCATGTCGCCACTGCAGATCTCAGTGCTTGTGCTCGCTGCCGCCGCACACGCGGCTCGGAATGCAATTGAGACAGCGCGGCACACCATGGTGCGGTTCATGTGGGCACTACCCGTACTAGTAGTGCTGTCCGTTGCGCACATAGTTCAAACATGTCCAACGTTCAAACAACAACGTCGTAGAATGGTTTGTCCAAGAGCTCACGCAGCTGACCAAGCAGAATCACTTGGAAGCTTCTTGGGAGCTGACTTTTGGCCTTGGCTTTGGTGAAGGCATTCAAAATGTGCAAGATTATGTGTGTCCTGCACGTGTTGCGAAACGCAAGATTACAAACAATTCGCAATCAGTGTTTGCTACCTAGTTGAAACTGGCTTCAACCACTGCCGGCGATACGGCCCCGGGGCATTTCGGGAACACACTCTAGCCCCGGAAGCCCAAAGGACAAAGCGAAAGCGCAAACCTCGAATCGAGTCTGCCAAGCCCACGCTACAGATGGCGATGCCAAAGCGTTTAGGAAACAAACCCATGTTCCGGAAAAGCCTGGAGATTGACTTGATTTGTTCGTTCGAACTCTTACGAGGATAAGGCCAGCCACAATCGTGAGTTGGTTGGTCCTTCGACCACTTCATGGGCAGAATGCACACTATTTGGTGCATTAGTGCATTCCTCCCCTGCAGCTATCATGCAGAGATGAACTTGACAACTGGGGTTGACTTCTGATCTTTCTTTGATCATGGCTGAGAAAAAACTCGCTTTCAACAACACAGCTAACCTTTTATGATTTATAAGCATATCCAGAAAAGTTCGAAGTGCAGTTTCCATTCATGTGTGTTTCAGTCACAATGTGTGACATGTTCGGCGCCGGCACCCTAACTCTCTTCGAGCAAGGGATGTTTAAGAGGGTTGTCATGCAGACCATACCTCGCAGGACGTAGACCACACTGGTACCACCAACAATTTGCTGGCCGAGCAGGGCCACGAGTTTGTGGAGGACAGGAACTTTGATTGGTAATTATCTCTAACTAGGAAGTGCGTTCACGTGAGTAGGGAGATAGGGCTGAACCCCACATATTTGAACAAAGGCTGTTGCACAGATTTTGCACACGCATATATGCATAAAATAGAATACGTATATATATATATATAGATGTGCGTATGTTGAAGGTACTTTGAGGTTCCGAGTTCCATGTTCTGCGTGGCGATCTTAGTTAGATTCAGCTGGGCGTGTGCACTGGTGCAGTGACATCGTACGACTCTTTTTGGACGAATGAAAGGCATGAATGATTTGAGAGAACCGCCGGCCTTTCCCAGGAGTCTGAAGAAGGTGTAGGGGCGATGGAAAGCCACAGCGCGCGCAGAGCAGAAGTTCTCATCGAGGACCGGAACTGCTCTCGCGCAGCTTAGGGAGTCGCTTCTAAGTGCACACCACCCTTATGTCATTTTTTCGGGGGGAGGTGGCTGGGGGGGCCAAAAGTAGAAACGATTTGGCGAAGCAGCAGCAAACCGGGACTTGGACATATCAATGCTGCGATACCTGTGCTGCTCCGCTTGCTTTGTGTACCGAGCGGCTTTATTTTCCCTTGGGAATCAGCAACAAAAGATACCTTACCCTACCCCGCCGTAGCTGCGGCAGATGGTCGACTTTCTCCATGTTACCCTCCCGAGGTTAGGAACCCCTGCCCACTTTCGCAGGATATGCTTTGAGAGCTAAGAGCAACTTATTAAGCTCTTAGGCAAGTATTGTGCAAATCTACCGCGCTAAGGCTATTGACGCCTAGATCCAACAAAGCCATAGATTAGACACTCAGAATTGGCTGGTGGCTCACAGCACTTCGCTAGCGGTTGCTTGGGCCGAGTTTCCGGGTCAGGAGCTTCTGCTCCAAAATGCCACGCTGCAGCGCTTGGTGCGGCGCACCATCCACGGCACTGACTTGGCTCAGCGCCGGGCCGAGAGCTTTGCTGTGGTTTCCTGAAAGTCTGCCCTTACCTCGCTTCAGCCGATCTTTTTTTCCCAGAGGCGAATTGAGTTTTTCTGGGAAGATTGGTTTTTGGCGTACTAGAAGCGACACACAAAACGGAATGCCCGTGTGGTTCAAAGCGGGCAAGGTCAAGAAGAGGTCATGGAGTTGTTGGGCTGTCCTAGGAATCCTTGCATGGCCCTTTGGCGCACGGTCTTTTGGTTTGGATGTTCATTCCAACCTGTGGTGCTCTGATTTGGGCGGGGAAGTATTGCAGCTTCTAACTTTCGTGCCAGGGGCCCACCTTTCGGAAGTGCAGGTAATTCTGTAATTGGTTTGAGGGTTTAGGACTGTTGCCAGGCTCTGGCCAAATGCAATTTTGAGTCTGCAAGGTGGGTGTACTTCCAGTTATTCTGTATGAGCTCTGACTAAAAAGGTGCCTAAAGAGTCCGTCGCCGATGCCCATGACTGGCGCAATACCCAATCATTGACAATTTATTGACCTAGAATTGTATGCATGAGGCTCATTTGCCATCCCAGTTATTTACATGCTGCCTGCGCTTGCAAGCTCGTGTCCTGTTTGCAAGGCACGGGAGGATCCTAGAAAACTTCCACGCTGCCATTCAGGAGTGACATCTTGATTTTTTGTTTGCCATTACTTCGATGCACTTCCAAATTCCATGCTTCTCTTCCAGCAAGTTGCTCATCATGTTCATGTTAGGTGAGAATTGCACTGCCACCATGTGTAGTATGATACCTGGAGCATGATCGAAAGGCCCAGCCATGGTGTGAGCTGTGGTTGTTTTTTCCGTGTAGATGCTGACAGCCTTCGTGCTGGAGACCCTGACAGAAGCTTTTCAGTGGATTACAGCCCACCCTTGTCCTCTCCGAGCGTGGTGTTCATGGCACCAAGCGACAAAAGCCGCCCACTTGAGCTTGGTTGCAGGAGCGCGAGCCCCAGGAGTTCTTCCAAGACACTGAGCACGGCGTTCTGCTGATGCAGCTGCTGCTGAAGGCAAGTCGTATATTAGGTGGCATACACACACACACACATGGTGGCTTGTTTGGGGAAGGCGATTGGTTGCTTTATGGCCTTTACATGAAGCGCTCGATTTGCATTCAAATGCATGTCTGTCTCGTTCTCGATGTGCTTCATCACTTGCCTTGGGTGTATGGACGTGTACTGTGTGCCTTTGTTCTGATAATGGTACTCTGGTCGCACTGGAAGCAATCGCACTGGAAGCAATCGCTTTTTGATACACAAGACCACTCAAGGGCCGAAGTGCCTGTTGATTGCGCTCGGCACCCGTCCTGAACACATTCAAAGACATCAGCGCAATAGTTGAACGAAGCAGTTAGGCATAGCTGAATTTCCTTTGAGTCCGGACTCACAAGAACGGTCCCGCAGTACTTTCAGGCGGCGGACGTGAGCAACCCCGCGAGACCCTTGCAGACGGCGAAGGCGTGGAACTCCCAGATCTATGAGGACAGGTTGCGACCGTTTTTGTGGTTTTTTTTTTCTTCCGGAAATTCAGCGGCTATCGAATGACCCGACGTGGCGCACAGTCTTCCTTTTCCCGGTGATATGCCGCGCACTTTGCATGTCGCACGGGCGGCAACAATGGCAAGTTTGGATGGCGATCAGCTCAGCAGCCATGTTTGAGAATGACGTCCCTCTTCCCATTGCGTGATGGGGGCAAGCTTGCTGCTTAGGAGTTTTACGCTGAAGGCGACCAGGCCGGCCGCTTCTGCACAATCTAAAAGGCACCAACTCGGAGTCCCCTGTGAATCATGTTCAGATATTGAGTGCGTTAGGACCTAGGAGCAGTCAAGGGAATTTAAGGTACATCTAGATTCATGACGCTAAAGAATTCGCTGATTTTGTGCAAGTGACGATGTGGAGGGTCAGTGAGGGTCGAACCAGAGATGGGGTATGCCGTACGGGGAGGCACGCTGAGACAAGTTGTCAGGTGCTCTCAGCCGGCGGAGAGCCAAATCCTTTGCACGATCGTGGCTTGGCAGAGTCAGCCATGGTGAATCTTCGTATGATGACAGAGTGGTTCAAACTCATTCGGGCACAGGGAGTGAGAGAGGCATTGTGGAAGATGTGGAAAGCCCTCTTCACTTTGGCTCATTCAGGTCGGACAAACAACATTCCTAAGTCCAGCGTGACTTGGCTGCAGGATTCTGAAAAAGAAGGGCGACACATGTGGCTGGAAATCCCAGAGCAATCCATGCCAGCAGAATCTTGTTTTCCGGCGTTGCCCAATGCACTTGACCTGTTATCCTTTTTTGGGGCAAAGGGGCAGTTTTCTGAAAGGCCGGCTTCATCAACTTCCATGTCAAGGGCATCTTCGTGGCGCTCCGAGACTTTGTGAGCCTCTGCAAGGAGCAAGGAATCCCCGGGATCAGACCGGAAGGCCCGGCAAGCCAAACCGGGTTGGGAACGGTCAAGTGATACTGGATCGCAGGTTCCCCTCAAATTGCAACGGTGAGCCTTCCGAAAGAGTGCCAAGAAGAAGGGGATGTCCAAGAGGAGACTTCTTCTCACATGCTATGAAGTTTGGTGTCAGTTTTCAGTTGTGTGAACATGGTGCTCACCTATCTTGCAGCCAGGCGTGGAGCAGGTTTTGGCAAACCTGGACAGAAATGCTGCCTGCTTTGCCGAGGAGCTGAGAGCAACTGTTTGGACAGCGCTGTGAAGCTAAGCCAATGGTGGATCCGTTTGGTTGCACTTATTTTGAATAGGACAACTTCATGGCGAATTCAATGGCAGATCGATTGCCTCCATCAAACTCACGATTCGGTGACATCAGTTCGGAAAGGCGTGCGCATGTGCGAATTCCTTGTTCAAGCCTGCTGTCAGTGCTCTCCATAGTTGAAGGTACACCGCCAATTTCCACATCTTAACGTTCTGAGACTGAAGCGCTTGCCGAGTCAGTTGCTACACAACAAGCTTCCTTCGACCAAGCCTGGTGGGCGGGGTCAAGTGCCGTCCTGGACAACAAACAACATAAGTACTTCTGAAGCTAAGTCAGGTTTCGCATGCCATTCTGGGAATGTTTGCGCATGCTTTTGGTTTGGTAATTTGATGTGGACCATCACTTGTCAGGAGGCCGCGAGCCAAAAGGCTGGGGCGTCGAGCTGATCGGTTTTCCTTGCACCAGCAAACCTGGAGTGTTTGTCATGCCATAACAACCCCCGAATCCGCTCCAGATGCACGGCGTGTTTGTGCTGGCCAGGCCGACGGTGTGAGTGTTCGCGCCTGAACCTACCGGTGAGCTCAAATCGGGCTTTCTTGTGCTTTCCACTTGGTTGAGACAGTTGCAAGCAAGCACTGAGTGCATCTTTTCCTTTTGGGAAGCGGATGTGGTTGAGCTGCCCGGGATTTCTTTGCTGCAATGGAATGCGCTACACAAGGGTGTAGATACTGCACATATTTCTACAGGCTCAAGACTCCCAAGGAGCAGCCAGGCTTGTAAGGCAAAGGCCCACCTAAGAACCTTCAACTCGGCTTTCACGCAGTCCGATAGTCGATCTGGTTATGCTGGTCATTCGGCGTGCGACTTGCGGGCGGGCCTTTTTCAATTTCCTGCCAGCGATGGCGCATTTCTGGGGGGCGGAGTCGGAGCCGGCGCCGTTCCCGGCGGTTTCGAGCTGCAAGTCTCCGATGTTTGCAGCATCCCCGACTTCGCCCAGATCCCATTTAAGCCTTTGGCCAAGAGCACTGGCATGCACGCCAAGCTTGGTCTGAGCCAAAAGAAGCATCCCCAGCGTGAAGCGTGCCAGCCACTCTCATGAGGAATTGGAAATGGTCATGATTCCTTTGAAGACAAATTTAGGGAACTGCATGAAATCTTCATTGAACCGGGGTCCCGGTGACTCTCCTCACCGATGTGTTTTTTTTCCTTTGGCTTCGGCGCGAGCGTGCTCGGATTCGGAGGCCGAGCGCCGCGGAGCGTCGCCCACGTCGCCGCCGGTGAAGGCCAGTGCAGGGTTCGAGGGCCTCGCCTTATTCGTCCAATGGCGCCAGAAAATGAAGTTGATCAGCAGAGCTGCTGCTTTGGTGTTGTGCTTTGAAGTTTTGTTTGAAGTTTGCATGTTTTGTGGGTTGGTGAATGCTGCTTTTTGTTGACACGAGGCATGGTTTTGCACCGTGCCGACGTGTTGCACCGTTCCTGGCTGCATCTCGCAGCTGTGCCAGCTCCAGCGCGTGCCAGCGCCATGGCTGACGTGGAGCTCCAAGACGGCTGGGCGACTTGTGAGCACTGGGCATGGTGTCAAGCAAAAAACGCACATGAATCGGAAGATGGCACATAAATGCAATTGTTAAGGTTGGACTTCTCCAGTCAGCATGATGTCCTTGCGACGGTAGGGGACCTTACAAATCCACCCCGCTCTTTTGTTAGCGTGAGGATGAGCATGTGTCAACACTGGTTCATCTTGAATCGAAGCAAAACCTGTGTCGTCGGCTGGAGACGACCTGACTAGTTGCCTCTAAGGAGAAGAGGGAGAGCCGGAGCCAGCCTGGAACGTGACTTGGTTCGGATTAGAGCACAAAATATGTTGCTTCGTTCAAAAGAATAGGCAAAGGTGATTTCTCCAGACCGTTCAGTCAATCTGCCCTGCAGCCCTTGCAGATTCTGAGTCCACAGATGTCAAAGGGCACCAGGAAAGCTTCGGGGCGAAGCACCCATCCCAGGATGGCCATGTTCTTGGAAGGCTTCGTGTAGTTCCTTGTTACAAAGCGCCCATACTGGTCCAAATGCGCGTGGGCCGTGCGAGGTTTTACTATGTGCAGCCGGAGACGGGGAAGACTTCCGTGGAGGCCCCTGCGAAGAAGCGGAAGGTGGCGCCCTGGCCGACGCTGCCCGATGCCAGCCCCTCGCCCGAGTGTTTTTTGTTTTTTAGACCTTAATAGAAGCATTACGTGTTTGAATACCACCTGCCAAGTTTCTTTGACGTTGGAATATTCGATGTTTTGGACCCTTGGAAACCAAAAGGATGGCGGCCTCCATGGGGGGATCCTATTTTGAGAGAGACCAAACCAGTGGGCATGGAACTCGGAGCCATGGAGGCAAAAACGAGACGAGCAAGGGCCTCTTTGACGACTTGCCCGACGCGTCGCAGGACACCGTGCCCGCGGTGAAGTCCCAACACGTCCCTCAGGTCCGGGGGCAAGAGACGAAAATGCCGCCTTCGCATAGTTCCCATATTTGGGCGGCTGCCATGTGAGCGCTCATGTGACGGTTCACACGCGAAGATATATTACGTATTTATGAAGTATGTAATTACATTATAATAATGAAGCCGCATTGCATTTCGGAAACGTTGTGACACGGAGCTGTATGCCAATCAATGCAGTCACAAAGGTGCCCAACCAGTTTCACGCAACACTTGGACGCACAACTGCTTGTGGGCAATTTCCAAGCATGTCAAATGAAAGCTGGAAACGCTTGGCTTTTTAGGAATCATGCTGCCAAAAGGAACAGAATCCTCTTGCAAGGTGGAGAAGCCAGTGGCTTGGCTGATCAGCTCCAGGTTCCACTGCTGATATATGGGGGGGAGGTTTGCGAGCGTCGGGTGTTGGGCGGGGGAGTCGCATGTTCGTTGAGTTTCTTTGCATCTTCCTGTTTGGGCTAAGCGGCCCGTTGACAGTTGACAGCCTGTCGCTTTCTCGGTTGCACGGCTCAGCCTGGTAAGACCTGGTGTCAGCGCCGAGTCCGACTTTCAAGTCAGAATGGTGAAGCCTGGATCATCACAAGCATGTCACAGGGAGACAGAACACGAACAAACCCCAGTACAAGGCAACTGAGCCGCCCATGCTGGTGTGTCTTTTTCAGGTTGGCTTTCTTATAGCGTCCCACATGCTGAGGCGACTTGGACAAGTTGTCTCTGATTAGCAAGGTTGTCTCTGATCAGCACACCCAAACTCTACAGGCATAGCACCCAAACTCTACACCGCCATCCGCAACATGATTGTTGATTGTTTGCATCACCCGACAGTTGACTTTGCGGAAATGAGATAGCCATGTTCTCAGTATCCAACATCAGTTACATATTTAACACGCACTTCTCATTGTTTGCAGATGAAACACGAGGATATCATAGCTTTCCTGGGTGGCTTAGTTCATATTATGATGGGTGTGCTACAAGTGGGAGGCATCCAACGAGCTGGTTCAAAAGCAGCCGCCAGGTAGTTTCGGACAGATCCGCAGCCGTTCAAAGAAATGCGGAAACGGGAATGCCGCGTTTTGGTTGTACGTGTGCAAGGTGCTGTTGGGTCAGCGTCGGCCGTGTTTTTTTCCCCCCTGAGCACAAGGGAGGGCGTGCTTTGAGGTTACCAGCATTCGCTGCCTTCACATTCTGAAGAAGCACACCAAGTCCAGGAGACCCAGTTCGTGGCGAGAAAAGGCACGAATCATCTCTCATTCCGCAAGCTGTCAGCTCACTTCGTGCGTCCAACTTGGCACTGCGGGATTTGTGTGTTGAATGGTGACATGTTGTGACTTGGTTTGCGAAGCTGGGGGGTCAGAGATAGAGTCTTTGAGCATCGCAGTGCTTGTTGTTTGGTTTCAGAGGCCTGATCCATGTTGCAATCAGGCATTGCACACTTGAGCCCCTGGGCTGAAGTTTTGGCTGAGAGAGACCGCTCTTGGATCGCGAGAACTCTCGCAGCTTCCCTCGCCTTCTCAAGAGGTCATTACGCGCACCCTGGAAGAGGCGACCTACCAACTCAAGGCCAGTGGCGTATTGCGCGTGGTGACCTGAAGGGTCGCTACAGTACAAGTTAGACTCCCCCCGAAGTCACTCTCCAGAAGTGACGTTGGGTGTGCCCTTGGCTCATTTTGCCCAGTGCTCCAGGAATTGAGAAAAGGCCTCGAGGCGAAGGCTACGACCAAGGAGCACGTTGCAAGCGGCTGTTTTTTTGTCACGTTGCAACATTTGGGGCGTTTAGGAGCGACAGACCGAGTTCGAGCGGTTGGCGCGGAAAGAGTCAGAATCTGTGCCGAAAATATAAAATTAGTTTGACTCGGAAGGTGTGATAAGGTGTGCGCCGTGACAGACTGGCCGGAATAGGCCCGCAGCTGTTCTGCCCAGTCGGCATTTTCCGTTGTATTTGTATGCACACGCGTTTCCACCATCAAGATCGTTACATGTCCAGCCGCAACTGCAAAGTCCAAAGAACACGTTCCTGATTGACAACTATCGTGATCTAAGGACTGCGGCTCTGCGCGCGAAGGCGGCTCCTTAGGCCGGGTCACTTCGCAGCATGGCAAGTGGCTGCATGTTTGGAACTGCGGTCGTGGACCGCAGGCAAATTCGGCCGCGGGCAGATGCAGAAGCCTTTCGAGGACGCGGCATTTGCATTGGAGGTGAATCAGATGAGCAGCTCGGCATGGCTTCGCAACCTGGAACGTGTCATATGCCTTCCGTGCTGGCTCACCCTGGATGTGCCCTTGGCCAATTCGGGGAATTCAGGAACTTTGATTTGTTCAGTCGGGCACAGATGATCATTGGCAAAACTCACCTTGTGTTGAAGTTGGATCTTCGTTGACACGCCTTCGGCTTGTGCTGATGTGTTTTGCTGTTTTAGCTTGGCTGCACAGAGCTAGCCCAACAGGATTCTGTTCAAACGTGCACACTTGCATGTGCTTGACCAATCAGCCCATCAGAGGTAAGCCCCATTCGCATGTCCCGGAGTCAATCCAGGGAAAGCATGTCGCTGGACGTTAGTTGGTACCCACTCAGCGCCATTTGAATCAGTGTGAGTGCTGCACTTGTGCAGGTCAAGTGGTGATGACTGAGAGCGGAGCCCACATCATTCTGAGGCTTGAGTAGCCCTAGGTCCGTATCCCAGCACTGTTCAACTCCTTGGAGGTGAGGAGGAAAAGACAGGCCGTCGGCAAATCGGAGCTAAGATTCTGGCCTGTGATGGATAGCCTGGTGAAAGCAAGGCATGCCGAATGTCCAAAAGCGAACTTTGATTTCAGACTGCCAAGAGCATCCGTTGATGACTGGAACGTCCTTAAGCCAGGTCTGGACTCAGATGGTTGCTGAATTCGTGCGAAGGCCGGAGGTTGTACAAATACCCCTCACAGCTGAAGCCATGGTATGGAGGATGTGGCGACGGGCGTCCGACATTGGTTCGGTCCGCGATGTATTCTGAATGATTTCCATTGGGAATTGTTGCCCCTGTTCCGCCACATTGAGATACCATGGCTGTCATTATGCTTTCAAGGTTTGCCAGCCTCGTAACTGTTTGCCCAGCTCAGCAGCGACACACTGTTTTGTGCTCGTCGTTTGCTATTAGGCTGTTCTCTTTGCGGTCACAGTGGGGCTGACTCTGTTGTTGTTCACAGAGGCGGCAAGGCGGCAGGGACAAGCAAACAGGCTCTGGAGTGTGAGCCAAGGAGTCCTAGAGCCTGTGCTACACCCTGCGTGTGTCGCGAGAGAGGGCAAAAGACACAGCCCATCGCGCATCGTGCCTCCGGACGCTCAGAGTCTCAGAGGCGCCTGTTCGAGTCGCGAGGTGCTTGCGCCGCGAGGCACCCTTGGCGCGCCCAAGGCGCACGTCACTCGTCCAAAGTCGCTACGCGCCCTGAAATCACCCAAATTATTTTGATTGTTTGGTACTTTGGTACTTTGGTACTTTGGTACTTGGTGTTCGCCGCGTTTGCCCTGGAGTAAGTTGACTCTGCTCTTGGCCTTTGGACCTCGTTAAGCTTTATGAAACATCACGCCTGCAACCGAAGAGATCTGCAACGGAGCCGCGATGCCTACCGCGCGTTTGGTCGTGCCAGGCGGTAGCGCACCGCTCTGCCACGCCTGGCGCACCCTACATGACGCCGCAGGCACAACATGCTGAAGCTTCCTGGCCTCTGGTTCCATGGCAATTGCTCTTCTTGCAAACAGAGAGGTAATAAATGTGCATATACCTGTGCCTGGATGTTGAACATCAGGCCGTTTACAAGCTGTGCAAGGGGCACCCGTGAGCAGACCAACATCTCGGCCGTGATTTGCAAGCCACTCGCAATGCGCAGGTCCCTGAGCGGGAGCTTTCAGGCTGGCCCCAGAGATGGGCATGGGATGCCGCAAGTGAAACAGGTCATGCCACACAGCAGGAGTTGATAGTTCAGAGACATGCCTTGGGCCAGTTCACGCACGTTTCCCAAGCTGCTGAAGCAAACGGTATTTGAAAGCATTAGTAGGCGTCTATTTGCAAAGGCTTTCAGCCTCCGGTTTTGAGAGTCAAAGATTCCGAGGCCCAAATGAATTGCCGGAACATAGTGGCATCAGCCATCTGCTGACCAGGCTTGGCCAGGTCTGGCTCGCAGCAGGTTGGCCCAGAGTGCCGGTCGAGCTTGGTGCAGATCAGAGACATTAGAGGCATGGCATACGAAGTCTTCTCCTCTCAGTTCGCCTTACGCAGGGGTCCGCAGTAATGAAGTCTCCCTTTGTGCCTTGAGAGGTTTTCCGAACCGTCAGCCGGCTTAGGTCCGCGATCATCAGTGCACACGTCAAGGCCCGGCTGCATCAAGTGTTTCTGGAAGGGAGGGCTGACGTGTTCAAAAAGCCAAGCTCAAGCAAATGCGAAACCAGGCGCCGGCTTGCAACAGCCCCAGCACTCCGGTGAGGATGCCAAGGCTGGGTGCGTCTGCGAAGCTGATTCTTGTGAGCATGTAAGCAAGAACGACACACACACACACACTCAATCACTCACGAACTCACTCAATCACTCACTCACGCACTCACTAACTCACGCACGCACTCACGCACTCACTGACTCACTCACTCACTCACTCACTCACTCACTCACTCACTCACTCACTCACTCACTCACTCACTCACTCACTCACTCACTCACGCACGCACGCACGCACGCACGCACGCACGCACGCACGCACGCACGCACGCACTCAGACACACTGACATGGTGCAATCACATGGACGCGAACATGTGATATACTTGCATGAAATCCATTGTGATTGCATTCCTTTCTGGTTTTGGTTGTTTTGTTTAGTTATAAACGCTGCGCGCTGCCCGCCTCGGCCGAGGCTATTTGACTTAGAGGCTTTCTTTCATTTCCGTTCTTACTCCAGGGCCGGGCGTGGTGGGGGCTGGGCAGCTGACTGCGTGAAAGTACCGGCTTGGCACTGAAGAACAGCCAGGGGCATGGGGCCGGGGGTGAGGTGACTTGCCAAGGACCACAGCTACGGCCGCAATGTTGGCACGCAAGGAACTAGGGCCAAAAGGGCAGTGGGCTGGAGACCCGTGACCCGTGGCGTGGCTGTGGTTTCTGGCCGAGGGCGCGTAGGTGAAGCTCCGGGCTGGAGTGCGAGTTCGCGCGCGATACTGGGTTTGGGCGACATGGGTCACGGGGGGGATGTTTAACTATTTAAGTTTGTGATCTTCCTATGATAAAGAGGGACCTGGCAACCCTGGCGCGCGTAGATGGTCGAATCTCCCAGGATGCCAATCGCCAACTCCGGATGGCGGTCACTGTCGCAATGCAAATTGTTGCACTCCCTTTGCTTGTCCTTTGCTTGATGAGGTGTTTTGAAGGCGTAGCTGCAACTTGCCAGACCAGCTCACGAGATGGGAGCTCAGTATTTTCGCATTCTGAACCCAACACAATCCCGGCCTGACGGAGAAAGGAGTTCGTAATTTGATTGATGCCTCCCTCGCTTGGCCGTTGGCCCGAGCCACATTGCACGATATGCTGTATCCATGAAGAGGTGCAAAGGGAGGATAAGCCGCTCACGGTCCAGAAGTCGGAAGCCAACCTCTCCAAAGCGCAGACAGACAAATGTAGTGTCTGCCGTTCATATTCAAGTCGTGAATGCAATATCTGGGGCAAGTTGTTGCAGCTTCTCAGCTGATTTGTCTTGGTCTGTGTTTGCAGTCAAGGATGAGATCGCGAAGATTATTGGAGAACCGATTTCTTTACTTCCTTCTGGGAGGCAGCTGTTATTTGAGTCCACCGTGCTAAGTGAGGACGAGACGCTGAAGAACATTTATTCTCCAGATGGAGCGTCTTCCTCAAATCCCTCACTTGAGCTGCAGTTGCTTGAGGTGCCCAATGATTTCTATGTGCGATACTTTGCCAAAAAGTCTGTCGGAGACGATTATGAGTTTCACGAGTTCGAGTTCTGCAGTAGCGGAAGATTCCGGTTTGCTCGCAACTTTTTACAGCGTGGCTTCTTCAAAGGCAAAATGTTGCGGAAAGAGTGTTTCTTGTCTGCTGTGAGCTTAAATGCCCTGAAAAGCATTGTGGTGAAGAGCAAGATCACCCAAGCTGACGATGCAGACATACCATTGCCGACCAGACACTCGCGACAAGAATTGGAAATCAAATGTGACGGGGAACACGTCATGTTTGCCACGAGTTTGCATCCAAGTTTGTCGCACATTGATGGAGGCCGCCGACTTGATCATGTTCGCAACATGTCTGATTTGGATGCGTTGGCGGAGGATATCAAGTCATTCGGAAAAACGATTCTGGAACTCTTTGGCATCCAACTGGACGGAGCAGCTGTTCCTCGCTTGACCAGGCGTTGGTGATGCGTCACTGCAATGCCACGGCAGTGCGAGGAAGCACATTGCGGCTGATCCCAATGGAAGCAAAGCGATGGAAGCGCTCGCACAGCCGGTCAAGGAAATCGTGGAGCATCGGCATCAATCCGGCTTGTCTTCCCTCGCGCCCAAGCTGAGATGCAGGTGCCAAATTTGGGGGGTGCTCTTCAATACCGGGGATCATAAGCATGCCCCAGTAGCAGCAATGTCCAAACTTGATAGCCACCAGTTCCACCTGGTCCTGGTGGGAAGCATTTGCAAGTTAGTGCGAAGATCATTGCGAGCTTTCGGCTTTCCGCGCAGACAAAGATCGATGGCACAATTCCTTCGGCTTTGGGTACATCATTTCTGGGGGGCAAGGGCGGGAGGCTGTTTGGACGTTGCCGATCATTTAAACGTTGCCGATCAGGTGCCGAATTGCCTGTAACGCTCGTTCGATTTTGCTGCGATGTGATGAGAATGCCTCACGGTCATTCATCGCATTCAGCTATGTTGCGAGCCGCTCGGGTGCCCAGCCAGGAATGCTGCTCCCTTTGCTAGCCCAGTCCGTGTGCATGGAGCGCTCAGTTCTCAGCGTGCATCGATCAGGGGACCCTGCAGCCCTGAAGGGGCTCTACAATTGAGCCGCAATCCCGGCGGAAGAGAGTCAAGTTGTTTCTTTATTTCTTTGTTTGTTGTTTTTCTCTGCCAATATTATGTCAATGCTTATATACCTGGCAGCACCCAAAATGCGCGTTTGAATCCCAAAAGAGGCCATGTCGTCGGTGGACTCCCGGTGTGGGTCAGCAGCAAACCGGTTTCACAGACTCAGGGCCAGCCCTGGCTCGCCATTGCCACAGGCGCAGCCGTCAGTTTGGAAGGGGTCCCATTGGAAGAAGCCTCAGAGTGCGGTACCACCGTGCCATGCCCTGCCGGCCACCATACTAGCACGTGGAA